TGACCAGCCAATTGCTGATGGTAGTCTTCTTGATTTCTTGAGGCAAGTGTCAACTTTTGGCCTCTCACTTGTCAGACTTGACATTCGTCAAGAGTCTGACCGTCACACAGATGTGTTGGATGCCATTACCCAACACTTGGAAATCGGTTCCTACCGTGAGTGGTCTGAAGAACAAAGGCAGGAATGGCTACTATCTGAACTAAGTGGAAAGCGTCCGTTGTTTGGTCCTGATCTTCCTAAAACAGAAGAAATTGCTGATGTTTTGGATACATTCAGTGTCCTGGCAGAGCTCCCGGCAGACAACTTTGGAGCATACATCATTTCAATGGCAACTGCCCCTTCTGATGTTCTTGCTGTTGAGCTCCTGCAGCGTGAATGCCATGTGAAGCAACCATTAAGAGTTGTTCCACTGTTTGAGAAGCTAGCAGATCTTGAGGCTGCACCTGCTGCTTTGGCTCGGCTCTTCTCAGTTGATTGGTACAGGAACCGGATCAATGGCAAGCAAGAAGTTATGATTGGGTATTCAGATTCGGGTAAAGACGCTGGGCGTCTCTCTGCTGCCTGGCAATTATACAAAGCTCAAGAGGATCTCATCAAGGTTGCTAAGCAATTTGGTGTGAAGCTAACGATGTTCCACGGTCGTGGAGGAACTGTTGGAAGAGGAGGTGGTCCCACCCATCTTGCTATATTATCTCAGCCTCCAGAGACTATCCACGGGTCACTTCGGGTTACAGTCCAAGGTGAAGTTATTGAGCAATCATTTGGAGAGGAACACTTGTGCTTTAGAACACTCCAGCGTTTTACTGCTGCCACACTTGAGCATGGTATGCACCCACCAATTTCACCAAAACCGGAATGGCGTGCACTGCTGGATGAAATGGCTGTTGTTGCTACGGAGGAATACCGTTCCATCGTCTTCAAAGAACCTCGATTTGTTGAATATTTCCGCCTTGTAAGTGGACTTGCATTCCCGTGTTTCTTAACACCATCTGTTCTAAGTTAATCAAAGCAGATTTGGATTGAACATTCTATACCTATTCTTTTGGCTGTAGGCTACACCAGAGCTGGAGTATGGTAGAATGAATATTGGTAGCCGACCATCAAAACGAAAGCCAAGTGGGGGTATCGAATCTCTCCGTGCAATCCCATGGATCTTTGCGTGGACACAAACAAGATTTCATCTCCCTGTTTGGCTCGGCTTTGGAGCGGCATTTAAGCATGTCATTCAGAAGGACATTAAGAATCTCCTTATGCTGCAGGAGATGTACAACGCATGGCCTTTCTTCAGGGTGACAATTGATTTGGTTGAAATGGTCTTCGCAAAAGGAGATCCTGGAATAGCAGCCTTATACGACAAGCTCCTTGTTTCTGAAGAACTCTGGTCCTTCGGAGAGCGGTTGAGAACAAACTATGAAGAAACTAAAAGCCTTCTTCTCCGGGTAAACTCCATGGGCCTTGAGCACATATACTGTGCCTCTAGTTAACAAAAACTCGAGGAACTTAACCCTTTTCTTTTCCTTTTTGGTTTTCAGATTGCTGGGCACAAGGATCTTCTTGAAGGGGACCCCTACCTGAAGCAAAGACTCCGGCTACGTGATTCATACATCACAACACTAAATGCCTGCCAGGCCTACACACTCAAACGAATCCGTGATCCGAACTACAGTGTCAAGTTGCGTCCACATATCTCCAAAGAGATTATGGAATCAAGCAAGCCTGCCGATGAACTTGTGAAACTGAACCCAACAAGCGAATATGCCCCTGGTTTGGAGGATACCCTCATCTTGACCATGAAGGGTATTGCTGCAGGCATGCAAAACACCGGTTAGACTGACTGGTTTTGCGACTGCATGCTTATAGTTTTAAGTCAAGAGGAGATGATTTGTTCATCGGAGACGTTTGTCATTTCGGCATAAACCTTCCTGAAGATATAGAAAGGAAGTGGATATTTGTAATGCTCTTTTACACTATGATCATGTTGCTGTTGTCAGGACAAGTTATGTATAGTGGCAAGTGTTTATTACTGCCACAAAATGGATTGGAGTTGAACTCCATTGAAACTGATTAATAATTTATGCTTTTAATACAAGTAATGCCCTTGAGGCTTCTTCTGGCTTTTGTTTACATGGATCTAATCAGCAGCTTATTTATGCATGCATCTTGTTTCTTTCACATTTCCTTTCTCGAATGGCTCTACACTGTTTATTACTACCTGTAACTCTAAGGCTTAGAAGCCGTGGCTTTGGACAAATCATTCAGTATCCAAAAAGTCTTGTTCTTTTCAATTTGCAACCTCGAGTCCTCGACAACCTCTGCTGTAATCTCCCCGGCATTTGCTCAGTTTCGCATCAACTTGTATATTTCGCCACAAGCTTCTTTTCTTGCATCAAAACTACTTGTGATCAAAGGAACCACGTCTGCAGGCTTTCCTTCATTTTTCGGGAAGCTTGTTTTCATCGTCTAACAATTGATCCTTCGACGGCTTCCGCGCACTTGATTGATTTTCACCTCCGACTTCCGCAGAGGAAATCTCCAGAGCCTGCTCAACTAGTACTGCTTCACTTTTGGTTTCAGCTCCAAGGTCAACAGTTACAACAGCTGGTAATTCTAGTGATCCTATCGGGGTCGTCATTTATGTCTTGGTTGAAGACGTCACAAAGTTACATATTGTCTTGAATAGAGACCACCACAATATACCAGCCTCAAATTCCTAGTAGATGCTGGTTCAATCACCTGGAACACACTAGGCAAAAAGAAGTGGGACTGGACTGGGATGGTTAAAGTTATAAGTAGTACAATGATCTCTCAAATAAATTTACAAAAAAAGGGTAGAAAATAAGGCTATATAGATTTTAATTCAAGGGAAGCCTCTTGGTATGGTTAAAGTTGTAGGGTCTTTACGGTTTTTTTTTTTTGGGGGGGATGAGGAAAATGCCTTTTTGTCAGAAGTGGGATTTGAACTCACCCCCTCTCACGAGGACCAGAACTTGAGTCTGGCGCCTTAGACCACTCGGCCATCCTGACTTCCGCTATACCTTAACACTTTTCGATATACCTTATCACTTTTCTTTATATAATCTTGTTGTATAGACACAATATCACTTCAACAAACGTTAAATTCATTAAAATTAAGATGACGAACTCCAGCTTCAGATATTTTTATTTTTTTAATATTTTCTATTTATATGTTCATAACTTTTCTTAGTTACTGATAATGTATATCTATAGATGCAATTGTTTGATTTAGGGATGGTAAGCTAATATAATTTAGTGGATTTCGTACCGTATTTGCTCTAATTGGGGTCGAATGGATATAAGTTTAGTGACTAGTGGGCGGACGTGGATATAAAAGGTCATACTCGCCTTAGTTAGAGAGAGTGTGATGGGTTTGAAGTCCCGCATCTATCCTCCCATTACTACCCACCATATAAATTTTGGACAATTATAAATTTAATTATTATAATTTCAGAGATTATTATGTAAATCTTAATATTTTATAGAACATCACTTGTAATTTAACCAAATGTTAGGTATAAACATTTTTAGAATTGAAGATTGTCATTTCACTTATCTCAAATTGGAGGGTATGAACGAATACAGACAAATACATGATGAGTGGTGGGTATCTAGTTAGGTAATGGGTTTGAGAATATACACGCGTGAGCGAGTGTGAATTTGAACATTTTACCCGTTGTGGGTGGTAGATACAAAAATATTATGTGGGGATGGGGATAGGAGAATGAATATCTGCTAGCTTGATTCTGAATTTTTTAAGAAAAATAACATTATTTTTAATCACTAAAATCACTTGATATAAATAAATATTTAGATATCTAACTTTTTATTTAATATTCAAAGTTCGCACATACGTGTCATTAAATATAATTTTATCATAAAATGATCACTTGAACTTTAGTGAACAACATAACTTCAACATTTCGAGCATCAACCTGCCCAGCCTTCTCTGTAGCTGTAACTGCATTGTCGAACCTGCAATACATCCATCATTAAATTTCCAACTCCGGTCCCAAATCCTTTGTCATCATATCCATCATCAACGTGCTTGGGCGTTGTGGGGTGCTCATCTTTCCAACATAATCGACCTCCGAATCTTTTTTTTACTAAAAAATAAATTTCTGGTTTCACTAAATCTTTTAAAATGACGTTTTCTTAAAAAAAACTAAAATTCTTTTAAAATAAAATTTTTGAGTATTCGACCTACCTAACTCAAAAGGTCGATGGCGACTCCGAAACATTTCTTTTACAAAATCGAGTTTTCACAAAATAAATTGAGACTCGTCGCATCGTCGAAAAGAATTATTGGAGTTGGATAAGCTTAAAAAGGAACCCACACGGCGAACACACTTCAATAATAGTGAAAGAAGAAAACGAAAATGTTGAACGTCTATGCATATGTAACATCTTCATAACATCTCTTTCATATCATATCCAGGTCGATATGTTGTTTCTTTTGGTGCTGCATTTTCGTCTGTGATTGGACTTTTGTTTGGTACGAAACACTTCCTCCAAAACATCTTCAATCACTTCATCGTGTAATTCATATCAGGGACGGACGTATGATTTTATGTTACGGAGGCAAACTTGAACTTACAAAATTTCAGGGGGCGAAAACATATTTTCAATAGAAAATACATAGAAAAAAATCTAAAATATATGATAATTTTAGATTTTTAGGGAGGCCGACCGCCCCTCCTAGATCCATCCCTGATTCATATCATATAAATTTTGATATTCATATGTTTATACCATGTTTATGTTATTTTTCTGGATAAAAATTATGTGCCTTGTTTGTTTTCGCTTCTGTTGCTCAATTCTTCATCTATTTAACATAATTTTAGTGCATTTTCAAATATTTGTATCATATATTCATGTTATGTTAGCTTTATTTTTCTGTATATTAATAATTTATTTCATGTAGATTTTGATATTTTGACGAATGTGTCATGTTAGTGTTATTTCTTTTTTGGTATTGGATCAAGTTTTATGTAATTTGTTATACAATTAAGTTTAGATGAGTAATTTATGTTTATACTATGTCTCAATTTATCGTCTATTTGGTATTGGATCAAATTTTGATTTCTCTCATCCAACGAGTTAATCTCAATCTTTGATTCCTCTCATCCAACGGTCCTAAATTTGTATAAAACTAAAGAGTTTTACCTTGTGTAAGTAGATCGTAACTAGATATATATATATATATATATATATATATATATATATATGCACATAATTGGCTAATTGCATATCCATAGTTGGCGCGAGACTGCCAATAGTTGGGCCGCAACAAGCTCGAGTGCTACGAGCATGCAATGGTCAAAAACGTACGCCTGTTTATTTAGTAATCATTTTTTGATTTTGGTTTTCTTCTATAAAATAGAATCATCAACCCTTTGATTCTCTTCTAGAAAAAGGATATATAGATAAAGTGACGTCACACTATTTGATGATATATTCAACGACGGATCTAAAAATATTTTTTTAGATTGGGCACATATATATATTATTATTAATAATAAAAAAATCGTACGGAGAAGACACGAATAAATTTTGGGGTTGACACTTTCAATAAAATGAACAACTAATATAAAAAAATTCAAATTCCAGGATAGGCACAATAAAATTTTAAGGTGAACACTTTCAATAAAATGAATAACTAGTATAAAGAAATTCGGATTCTAGAATGGGCACGTGCCCACCTGAGATGTACATGCATCCGTCAATGGATATATTTCTTGTTGCAGGCGAGAGAAATCATCGTACAAATAACACTTTCTGACGAGCACCTTGCGTTAACTTGCATGCTGCATTTCGAACCCTTTGCATGTCTTACGATTGAAAGAAAACAAAACAACTTTTGGATGTTCGATTATCAAATCATCCGATCGATAAGCTCATCGCGATCATATGTGGAGCGATGTTTATAAACGAGGGATATGGTTGTATTCAACCGAACGGTTTCATTTTCTTTCATCCATGGCTTACTTTGAGAAATACCTGACCGAGGTTGATGTTAAGAAGCAAGTGGCAATTCCGACCGACTTCGTCAAGCATCTACCCGATTACGAAGGGGGATATACAATGACTTTCCCGGTCCGTGATGTTTCGGGTAACATTTGGGAGAATTTCGGGTACTATATCAGAAGAGAAGGGGACGATTATGCCAAGCCGGTTTTTCAGAAAGATTGGCGTAAATACGTTCGAGACAAACGTCTCAGCCCAGGTGACAAAATTATCTTCCGAGTCGTACAGGATGGTGTCGATGGTGCTCCGATATACACACTTGCAGCACAAAAGAAGATCGAACTTTTCGGCTCGACCGTTGGTTGGACCGAAGAGTTTTAGTCATTTGATGTGCGTAGATTAGGTTCGATAAGCTTTTGTTGCTGCTGCTTATGTGTATTATGATCATGTATTTTGATCTTTAATGTTGTATTGTATTTGGTTACGTTAAACTTCATCAGTATCACTATCTGTAGCAGAGAACATTTTACAATAGGCAACAAAACCATGTGAACTGGCTTCTCGTTTTCGACCTTTAAAAATGGTAAAAAGAATGGTACCGTAAAAACATATCGGCGACATACATCGTCGGTAAAAAGAAGATTTGTATGTTACTGAAAACGTTTCTAGAAGAAAGAAATGGATTGGTATGATTGGAGGAGGGAAGTTAAGATGTGTACCATGGCAGCAAGATCAACTTGCAGAGTGAGCAGTTCTCTGAACACCTAGTCCAGATGAGAAAAATCGGTGTGAATTTAGACCCAAAAAAACTAATTATCGTCCGATGGCAACGTTGAACTATTTGAGCAGATTTCTTGCTGATGGAGTTCCAATAGCTTTGCCTCTGGATTACATAGCCCTACGAAACAAGAGTAACGTTAGAACACAACTTATATATAGATTCCGAAGCCATTGTTCTATGACGCAACCATTTTCAGCTTAAAGGATTCGAAAATTTTCCATCGATCAATGATCAAGTAGGTCCATATCGCCTACAATGTTGTATATCCGTGGATCACCTGGTGTACCGCCATAAGACTGATGGAAGAATACTATGAAAAATTGCGGCAATATAAACCATTTATGCCACGAAAATCCTCGGTGATCATTGGCCAGCCTAGAATGACTATTGGTACACCAGTTTGTATGGTTTAATTACCAACCTGAACATTTGGGGAGATCCCAGACAGCTATAGATGTCTGCGAACATGATGTCTCGCACAAATTCCGGTTATGCTCATGGTTTACATTCATCGCAAGCATCCATGCACCAATTGTAACATCTTCATTACTAAACATCCGAAAACTGCAATTTATACAAAATAGAAGAATTCATAAACAGATCAGATATCTGAAAAGTAACGAATACATCATTTAGTAACATTACCTCAACCAATGTTATGAAAAATGAGTAACAAATTGCAAAATAAATATTGGATTAAGCTTTCAGAATATTCAACTATTTTTAAAGAAAATCTACAATTTCCATTATACCCAACCCCTCACAACCTCCTCAATCACAACAAAGGAGAACGGAAAGATAAAAAGCTTGATCGTAATACACAAATTTTCGGTTATATTAGCTGCCTCGAGAAAGAAAAAAGCTGGTCATGATGCAACAGTTCAGGACAAGAGTTCAAACAATCGAGTAACATTTTAGACTAAGCGTGTTGAGTTCGAAAGAAGGATTGAGATTAGCCAATGTTTAGGGGGAAAACCTACATTGCCAGCACCTGAAACCCTGATACGAAAATAGAAAAGGAGGGGGACAAGAAACATATGAAAAGAGAAAAATGTTTGATAGAAAATTATGAGATTAGTTCTGAAATAATTAAGAATACCTGTTGTTCCGCAGAGCAACCAAACTTGCAACGACATCGGCAGAAAGAGCATATATAGGACCATAGGCATGAAGAAAGTACTCCGAACCTAATAGATGGGATAATGGCTCATACCTGCATAATTTAGCCACATCTAATCACTCTACAATATAAGAATATCTTTGCTAATATAAAGCCGATCCTTTTAGTGTTAGACAATGCTAAATCTTGTCTAAAATGATTAAACAGAAAACTGACATATCTCTTTAAAAAGAAATCTTCAAATCCTATCCTAAAAATGCATGTACGAGTAAAATGCAGAGGAAAGATAAAAACAGGAAAGGTATGTTGCAACATTATGTACTACACAAGGCAATCCCATTAAATGAGGAGAGACACTTACTCGAACCAAGAAGTAAAGAGACAGTCGAAATCTGTAGATATCTAAATCGTAGGGTAAAGCAGTAAATACTCGAAAATACTAACCATTTCAGCTTAGGATTGGTAAATATTGGGCCCTTTTTCATGCATCCAATGTAAGTCTGAGGGTGAGAACGTTCTTTCGCTATCAGAAGTGATAGTCGATCTGCAAATCGATAACAGGCCATTGTCAATTAACCACATAAACAGGTTATATGAAGGCAAAGAATATCACTGCAACACATGCATAAAAGAGTCAACTAATCAAGTCACCTGGCCTCAAATATATGTCATCATCAGCTTTGATATAAAAGTCGGAATCATAGAGTGCATAGGCAGCTTTAAAGAATGCTAACCTGAATCAGACATTCGAAAGTAAGGGATCTTCCTTCAAATGAAGAATATGAGTAATTCGATAACCGAAAAATTCGGAGAAAATCAAGCTCACGTTTTGTATGGGAGTTTACTGTATTCCTCCTCAATATCTAACAAAATGAAATCATCATATTCTGCTACTTCTTTTCCCAGCTCTTCCATCTTTGATTTATCATTTGTTCTACCAATTATAAACCTAAAAGCTAATCCTGTTGATTCTTCCAACCTGAAAACATAAATATAGAAAAAAGAATAAATTATATTTGTATTTAAAATATTGGGTTAATTAAAACATTATTCCTTCTTTCCATAATTTCGAAGAAAATTATAACTTTGCTTTACTAAACAGAGCTTAATTGTTCTAAAATTCAAGCTGAAGATTTAATTCCACTTGAAAATAAATTACAGAAAAAGAAGAAGATTACATACCGTTGAAGGCCTTTGCGATCCGAAGGCATCCAAGTCTTCCTCAACGACCGTCTCCGACCAGCTGAACGGAAACCGGTTTGGATCCCAACAAATCCCATAACGTTATGCCTTCGGAACCCATTATCAGCATCTCCAGCATCAGCACCGCCTTTATCCACGTTCCCGGGTCGATCCCAAAGGACCCGGACGGTTCTTAGGTCAGATAGACAACGGTGGCCGCACCCACTGGTGGAAATTAAAGTGTAGAGGGCGAAGAGAAAAGAGAGGACGGACAAGACGATGAGGAGCGTTGTTCTGGTGAGGCGCTTGGCCGGCGGCGAAAGGCGGGAGCGGAAGAATTTGGGGGATGATGGCATAACTGTAAATTTGATTTGATCTGCGGGCTAAGTATATAATTAAACTGGTTCAAGTTTAGATAAATTAAGATGAAGATTTTGGATTTGAGTTTAAGATTAGTTTAGGCTATAATTTGATTTAGGTTTTTAATTATAATTAATCTAGAATTAGATTATATTAGATTAATTGGAGGAATTTGTGTATTTTTTATGTTATAACAGAAAGGATGATGTGGCTTTCATTTAGACGATCATGACTGAATCTTAATTATATAAAATATTGTAGGTTAGTGTACTGAACGTTCAACGAACCGTTCATGAATCGTGCAGCGAGAAGTTTGTTTTATTAAATGAACGAACATGAACAAGATTTTGTGTTCGTTTAATTAAATGAACGAACACGAACAAAGGGCTCGTTCGTTCATTTACGTTCGTGAACATTCGATTATATGTTCGTTCATTTATGTTCGTTCATTTATGTTAATTTATGTTCGAACAGATGGTAAGTTGAATATGTTACGATGATTATTAAAGTTGTTTGGATTTTAAGAAGATTGTTTTGTTGAACAAATTAACTTTAAGACTTTATTATGTTCATATAGGTTATTTATGATTTATGTATGTTTTTTTTCGTATTTGAACAAATTAACTTTAAAGTTGCAGGTTATATTAATGAATTTTAAGTTGTTATTCTTGTTGTTTACTTTTTTTTACATTAATTTGTTGTGTTCGAATAAGTTTGTTTTTGTATTTGTGTTGTTCGTTTATGTTCATTTATTATGTTCGTTCGTTTGTGTTCGTTTACATTCGTTTATGTTCGTTTATCATTTAAATGAACGAACATGAACAAACTATATTCCTTAATGAACGATCATGAACAAAAAAAAATTGTTCGTTTATGTTCATTTATTTATTAAATGAACGAACATGAATATACCTCCGTTCGTGTGCGTTCTGTTCGTTTACAGGCGTAAGTTTGAGTGTATATATAATATTTGTTGATTTATAAGTGAATTTATTAAAGAAAATAGATAATCGATTTTTTATATAACAGCATATGAACATATAATATGAAATATAAATTCTCAAAAATTAATTTTCATATAAATTCCAAGTGTGAAAAAGCATTCCACCATCCAATAATACTTGCATGTGAAAGAAAGAATCAATGATTATATAAAAGAAAGTAACAATAAAAAAGGGTTAAATGTACAAATGGTCCCTATAAGGTACTATTTCGTTTAATATATAAATTAATAAAAATTACAAAACGATCCATCAACTATAAAATATTTCTTTATTGAATTTTATGATTATTAAAAATAACAAAATAATCATTTTACTATTCTTATGTTTTAAATTTGTTATTTTCATTACAAATTTTATGATCGTTTAAGCTGAATATTAACATCGTGATATGATAAAATTTAATTTCAAAATAGTATTTGGTAGATCGAACATCTGTTTATATGATACCATTAAGTGAACCTTTGTTATTGAGTGAGCGCTTGAATACAATGATATACTAATAGATATAATTAAAATATAATTTAATTAACAATCATTAAAGAGGTGGCAAAATCAAAACCGTTAATCTTAACTATCGAATCCATTGCCGCCATATCCGAGCGCTACTGAAATCTAGCCCCTTCCCAGAAAGGGAGCCGAGTCGATCCATCTAGAAAAAAACTGACAGATCCGAAAAAAAATGGGATTATTACAAATACGCCACTTGGCTCATCAATATATTCCTTTAGCTCCTAAGCTTCACCATTTCCGTTTCTCTCTTCTCAAATCCCATAGTTTCTCCTGCTCTGTCTCAGTTCCTCCGAACACTATGGCTAAACAAGTAATTATAAAATATGAATGATAATTATTTTTTTACTTTTAAAGTTGTGATTTTGAGTTTGATTTTTCGATTGTTCAGGTTTTGGTACCGATTGCGAACGGTACGGAACCGATGGAAGCGGTGATCACGATCGACGTGTTGAGGAGATCGGGGGCTGACGTCACGGTGGCTTCCGTCGAGAAAGATATTCGTGTTGATGCTTGTCACGGTGTAAAAATTGTCGCTGATGCTCTCGTCTCTGATTGTAAGGATACTGTTTTCGATCTCATCGCGCTTCCTGTAAGTATATTATTCCGCTTTTTTCATCCTTTTCTTCTTCAGGTTTTACTTTTTTGGTATTGACTGCAAAATGCATATGTATGAAAATTTAAAACAGTAATTGGTTTAAATTTGAAAATTTAGACTTCTTTTTTGGTTAATTATTGTTTTTTTATTACTTTTGGAAGTAAACTAATAATTAATTGATATATGTTTTTTGATTTAGGGAGGCATGCCTGGTGGTACCAACCTTAAAGATTGTGGAGTTCTTGAAAGTCTTGTGAAAAAGCAGGCTGCAGATGGGCGGCTGTATGCTGCTGTGTGTGCTTCACCTGCAGTTGCGCTTGGTTCGTGGGGTCTGTTGAAGGGACTGAAAGTGAGTACCAAATGTTAAATTGTTTAGCTATGTTATTTCAGAGATCATGTTATTTGCTTTGTTGCATGCTTTTGTTTGACATAATGTTGTGTGATTGAACTCGGAATTCATGATTGCTTCTGGCAGGCTACTTGTTACCCAGCATTTATGGAGCAATTGAAATCATGTGCAACAGCCGTTGAATCAAGAGTTCAGCAGGATGGCAAAGTTGTGACAAGTCGTGGGCCTGGCACTACAATGGAGTTTGCTGTAACACTGATCGAGCAATTGTATGGGAAAGATAAAGCTGATGAAGTTTCTGGGCCATTGGTATGTGCACTACTACGTACTACAGTCGTTATTTGTGCATTCCTTTTGAAGCCATCAGGCTAATTGGAAGCTTCCAATTAATGATACCACTATTTGCTGAAGTGGAATTGATTATCTTCAGGTGATGCGTCCTAACCATGGTGACGAGTATTCAATAACTGAGCTGAATCCTGTGGAATGGAAATACAATGATGTTCCCCAGGTGAGGTTTTGGTGCTGTTATTGTTTACATCTTATCAAATTTTGTATGATATTGGATGTATTGGTCTTCGTTCTGAAGTATTTCTATGTGTATATTCTATTGATCTTCATTCTGATGTGGGCCTATGTGTATATTCTTTGTGGTTAATGCCAGATTTTTTTCCTCCAATACTCTAATTATGATACTCAAATAGAATTCCAATTCTTGATTCTAAAGAGTTTCAATGACGAGAAGAATTACTAGTTAGTGAAGTTTAGAAAGAACGGTGTAATGAGAGCTGACTTTCATCTGTCAATCTCTGCAATTCTATTTTCTTCTTTGATTCATAAAGTATCATTTAAGCTCTGAAACATGCAAGAGCACTTGCTCTCCAATATTGGATGCTTTTCCTGTTTGTAATCTAGCGTGCCGACGTATGGTGTGCCCTTTAATGCAGATTCTATGCAGTTAGTTGCCTAGTTCATTCAGATACTCATTTCCAACTTTGAAGTGTTTTGACATTCAAAATTGTCTTCCTTTCAGTACTATTATTCCAAAATTTGGGGTTCTTTTCTTTACTAAAGGTTCTGTTTCATTAAAATTTCAGATTATAGTACCAATCGCTGATGGCTCAGAAGAAATGGAAGCCGTTATGATCATCGACATTCTGCGTCGTGCTAAGGCAAATGTCGTGGTGGCCTCTGTTGGAAACAATCTTGAAATTCTTGCTTCTAGAAAAGTCAAACTAGTGGCAGATATGCTTCTTGATGAAGCTGCTAAGCTGTCATATGACCTTATAGTCTTGCCAGTATGTAGGATTTCTTTCATGCTCCATGCTCTCTGATTCTGCTAACTTTCTTTCTCCATGATATATTTTAAACTTGGTCCTTCATGTTTTCAGGGAGGTCTTGGCGGGGCCCAAGCATTTGCCAACTCTGATAAGCTGGTGAACTTGCTAAAGAACCAAGCAGAATCAAACAAACCCTACGGGGCTATATGTGCATCTCCAGCTTTGGTCTTGGAGCCCCATGGTTTACTTAAGGTATAATCTTTGATAATGTTAACGTTTTGTTGTTTTGATTATATAAAATTTACATGCTAAGAAAACTTGTTTCATGTTTAAAAATCGAGATACTTCATAGTCTGATTAAGCAATTCTAGTACTTTGATACCTAAGAACTTATAACTAGGCGATTGAGCATCGACATCTCTGGATGTTTAACAGTGGTATTCTGATATTGCCCAGGGCAAGAAGGCCACGGCTTTCCCTGCAATGTGCAACAAGCTGTCGGATCAGAGTTTCATTGACAACAGAGTTGTGGTGGATGGAAACCTGATTACAAGCAGGGGGCCTGGAACTTCCATGGAGTTTGCACTTGGAATCGTGGAGAAGTTTTTCGGACGCCCTAAAGCCTTAGAGCTAGCCAAAGTACTGCTTTTCGTATGCCAGTAGATCAGCCAGTACTGATGTTTGTCCCCGTCCTTGTTACCCTAGAACATGCCATGAGATGATAGTAAAGTGAGTTTGCATTTGAATTCGGATCACTTTGCAGTTTTATGTACAATATTATGTTCATTGTTGATAAATAAACGAGTCTTGGAACAGCTGAGAGCAACATGAACACTCTGGTTCAAATGTGATGCTATCCTTACCAAATAATAGTGGTAACATTATTAATATTTTACTGATGACTAATGTCTTGAACACACATAAGAATAGGGCTAGTGCAGCTTAGTACACATTTCTGAAACTTTTAGCATAGAAACCATCTGGGAATTCCAAAAGTGGTGAACGAACCACCTCCCCTCCCTTCATTTTTGTCATCCTGTAAATAGATTAAGCCAGCCAGTAAAACCATCTTAGATTAAGCCTAGTTCGAAACATACCTGAATTTGGTGACCCAGACGTGTATATAGACAGCCAGTAGAACCTTGCTGAACTCTGTACCAGCGCATGGCCTATTCCCTCCTCCACATGGTATGAAGTGCTTTCTCCTTGTGTTGCTTCCAATGTTTTTTTATCGTTTCAAACAATCAATTCAATAGCTTTTTGAATAAGATAATGAGATATTAATTGAATGATCATTACCTTCCATCTTGAAGGGTTGAAGGTAAGAGGATTTTCGTATGTATCAGAGTTAAGATGTTGAGATAAGGAATTAACCAAGAGGATCCAACCTTTAGTTATTGTATATCCTGCAATTTTAGTTATTATTATGAAAAAGGATGTATGCATCCACGCATGTATGTATGTATGTATGTGTTTGCTATTATGAGTTACCATTAACGTGACTGTCAGCTATGACTTTTTTCAGCATCCCTGGAAGGACATTTACCAACCTAAGTGTTTCATTAATGACCTGTAAAATATAAAGAAAATTATCATAAACAAATGTCGATCTCTGCACTATTCGATCTAGATTTGTTGAACGTAATCAAACTCACGTAATGAGTGAAAGTCATGGATTTGTAATCCTCCCATACAATTCCAGAACTGGCATCTTGTCTCTTATTGAGAATTTCCTCGTGCTCCTCCTGCAGGATAGCAAATACACACTCTCAAGTATCGATTTAATGTAAAACAGTAAGAAACAAGCGCACATGAACAAGCAGTTAATTGCTGCAAAATGCAGGGGTTGTCGAGCAGATAGAGAGTGGCCAAAGCGATAGCGGGCGAGATGGTCTCAACAGTAGCCAGGGTTAACCCAAACAGAAGGGCACGAATTCTTTCGTCAGATATGCTTCTTTTCCAATGTCTCCCACTATTTGGTCAAGAAAGTCTCCATTTTTATTGTAACCTTCAGCATAGTTACTGCGACCGTACCACTCCATCCTCTCTTCTACCAACCTTCTCGACAGCTTTAATGCTTTTCTCTTCTTCTGCATGTGTAAAGAGTAGTCTTTATGCTTGAACGCGTGTTCGTTTTTTTATTTTTGAAGTCATTCATATTGGGTTCGGTTCGTTTAGATTTCTAATATCGTGTTTGTATTCATTTATTTAAGGTGTTTGTATTTAATTCATTTAGTGTTGGTGAACATATTCATTTAATATCTGCGGAGATATTTGATTGACGTTCATTTATTTCTCAGTCAAGAAAAATGATGAAATTAGGAGACCAATTCTTGAACTCTTTAAACTTTACAGTTTGAACTCCAAAGTTCAAACTGTATTTATTTAGTCTACGCCTTCGTCGATATTTAAAATGTAAAAAAATATAAGGAAAATGAGAACCATATAAATGAGTTTATAAATAAACGAGCTTTCAAACGAGTTTATTAGTGAACATGAGAGAACCAAATAGACAAATACATCTACGTTTGTGTTCGTTCATTTATTAAAATGATGCTATAGTTTATATATATATGCAATTAAATTTAATATTTATGTGAAAAATTATTTTTCAAAACTTTCAATCAACGGTTGGTTTTTAACTGTAGCAGTCCCGGGGAAATATAAGGGAAACGTCATAACTCCTCGCTAACATGTTTAAATCTTCACCTAGATTTTCTTCTGGTCTATGACTCCAGTATCTGTGAGGCCAAACCAAATAACATCTGCAAATACTCCAACCATGAATAAAAATCATACATACATTATACATACATACATGCATGCATGCATGCATAATGGGAATATGGAATCACCATCATCTGGTTATATATACTAGAATTGCTTACGGGTACAGTGCGACGTTTTACATCAAACTCCGGCTGTTTGGTCCACTCATGCAATCCATTGCTTATTACATCCTCAAACTCAGACAACAGGTTACGTTTGAGAGGCTCAATTCCGAAGTGACTGAGAGCGGAGCGCCTTAGGTACCTGTGAAAGGAGCCACCTAAATTATTCATGCTGTCTTCGTGAACCATCTGCGTGAAGGAATCCATGTTATAGAGCTCGATGAGCTTCCCCTCTTGTTGCAGTACCAAGTAGTTGAAATTGGCATCCGACGATACCGCCACCGGCTATGCTCGTCTTGAACAACGGACCGTACCTAAAACCATATGAAAATGGGCTACATAACTAGTTTCTTGAAATGTATATATATAGTTGAGTAATGTTAATTTAAGGGTTGTTTTGTCACCTTTTATGTCTTTCATCAAGGAAAGGATGGATGTCAATGGATTTGGAAGTGACAAAAAGGCTAGCCGTCTCTCCTATAAGTGGGAATCCCATGGAACCTGGAGGGAGTGTGCCCTTACATTTAGGGTTCCTCCACCTATGAATCCAGTTGCCCACACTTACACCAATGAAGGAGATGACGAAAAGCCAAACAAACCATATCTCCATTATTGCATGAATCATCAAAGGAGAAATTTGTACTTTGAATATAACTCACTTTCTTTATTTCACTCAATTGTATTTATCGGCAAAACTGACTTGGTTAAATTTGTGGTGGAGTACTTGAACTTATTCATTTTTCTCTGATTTGATTCACTACAAGAAAACGTATTTCAGTTATGCTAAGAATGATAGTTATAAGTATTAAATTTAGTCATTGAATATCACATTGACAATTTTTGACTTGTCATATATCGTCATTAATAACTTTGTCACTATTATATTAGTGACAACTTTAATGAATTTTATCACAATTCTTTATGTTTTTTATGACTATGTTTTTTTGACTCATAAAGATTTATAACAATGATGATATTATTGTCGACATATATTTTATCACAACTATGTAACTAAATAGATTAATTAAAATTTAAACGTCAAGTATGATTTTGAAAAAATAATTGTTAAATGATCAAGATAGAAACTACTCAATAAGTGGGTATTATTTAACAAAAAAACCCCTATTAAATATTTTTTTGGAATAGCAACCCCTTTCAAAATTTGTTAGAAAATGACCCCCAAACTGCCCACGTTAGATTATTTTGTGTCCTACAAAACGCGTTTATTGGACCTCGTGTTTTATAGAACGCGAGACCCATCAATTTTTTAGATAAAATTATTTAAGTATAGATAAAAACAATAATAAATACGTAAAACTCACTTTTCGTAAAAAACGAGATCTGAATTCATTTTTTTTGTAAAATACAAGGTAGTCTTACGTGGTAACGTGAACAGTTTGAGTGTTATATTTTTAACAAACTTGGGAAGGGGGTTGCTATTCAAAAAAATATTTAATGGGGTTTTTTATATAATAATGGCCTATAGGTGTGACCCAATAAAATAAAACATTTCATGCCAAGTTTACCTAAAACCCCAAGGTTTAGGGCTGTAAATTACCATTTTCTTCTCCATATATAAGGAAGCCCTTCAAAAGCCTCTCCGTTACGATCTACTCGCATATTTCTCACATCTCACTTCTCAGCCTCCAAAAATGGCGACCCAAACTCTCTCGCGAGCTCTTCTCTCAAATTCCAAATCACTAACATCCTTCCTCTTCCCTTACTCTCGCTCTTTCTATTCCTTTTCCTCATCCGCCGCTGCCGCTTCCTCAACCAAAACTCTTATCGCCCCGTCGCCACCGCCTTCCCTCTCCTTCCTCCGTCGCCTCCGTGCACCGCCTTGCTACTCACCCCTCGTTCGGAACCCTGTTTCCCCATCCGTCAAATCGTTCTCCACTAAAGCAGCCAGGTCCTCCCTCAATGACCCCAACCCTAACTACTCGAACAGACCCCCGAAAGAAACGATTTTGCTCGACGGCTGCGATTTTGAGCATTGGCTCGTTGTGATGGAGCCGCCGAAAGAGGATGCTACTAGGGATGATATTATTGATTTTTATATCAAAACCCTAGCTCAAGTAGTGGGAAGGTATCCTTTTTACGCTATTCTTTTATCATCATACGGTATTGAACAATTCGTTTTAATGTGTTCTGTTTTGATGAATCCTGTCTTTTAGTATTATTTTGTTTTACATGTTATGAATGTACTGATAGTGTGAGACTAAAGGCTGCTGCTTCGATGTCAATCAGGGGTTATTGCTTTGTTATCTTTGTTATGGAAATATGTGATGCTTGATTCTTGTATCATTGTAGTTGTTTTAATGTGTACAAATTACAATATGATTGGATAGAAGAATCTTTGTACATTTGCTATAGTGTTTGAAACAATTTTTTTTTCATTTTCCTTTTGAATATGCAATTTTGATTACAGGTCTTCTAGGTCTGATATATATTCATGCAGTTTGTTATATTAATATTGTAAAGCTCCATTGATTGACACGATGATTTAGTCTTGTATCGTTTAATCGTTGGGGTTTTAGCATATGTGGGAATTTTTTCTTTAGATACTTGGTTTCTATTGCACCCAAGGAAAAGGAGGATATATTCTAGTTCCTGTTTAATTCTTGTGCATCGTGTATACAGCGAGGATGAAGCGAGGATGAAGATTTATTCCGTTTCTACCAGACACTACTATGCATTTGGAGCTCTTGTATCTGAAGAGCTTTCTTATAAGATCAAAGGTGCATGATCTCTTAACTTGTCATCTGACTTTCTTGTCACTCTAATGCCTTTTTAGGGAAGTTTTCTTTTGTATATGCTCATAAATTTTTATTTTCCAATTAGAAATTCCTGGAGTTCGGTGGGTTCTTCCGGATTCCTATCTAGATGTGAAGAATAAGGATTATGGAGGTATTATTCACTTCTTATCTTGAACATTTCTTCTTTGAGTTCCTTTTTGTTTTAAGCTATTAATACCTAGAATAAGTTGTTGTTTTATAGGGGAGCCTTTCATTAATGGTCAAGCAGTGCCCTATGATCCTAAGTACCATGAAGAATGGGTGAGGAACAATGCTCGAGCAAATGAAAGAAACAGGCGCAATGACAGACCACGGAATTATGATAGATCGAGGAACTATGAGAGGAGAAGGGAGAACATGCAGCCCAATAGGGATATGCCTCCGAGCCAGGGCATTCAGAATACAGCTGGAATGCCACCCAACAACATGGGAGGGATGCCGCCACCCAACAACAACATGGGAGGTATGCCGCCACCAAACAACATGGGAGGTATGCCGCCACCAAACAACATGGGAGGTATGCCGCCACCAAACAACAACATGGGAGGTATGCCACCACCAAACAATATGAGAGGGATGCCACCACCCAACAACATGGGAGGGATGTCGCCACCCAACAACATGGGAGGGATGTCGCCACCCAACATGGGGAATATGCCATCAAATCAAGGATGGTCCAGTAATAATCAGAACTTCCAGAAGAACCCTAACTATGGAAATGCACAGAATTTTCAAAATGTCCCAAATTATGGTTCTCCCTACCAAGGTGGTACACCTAATGCTCAATACCAGAATGATTATGCTCCAAACGATGGTGGAGAAAACATGTCGGGTGGTGGGAATTACAAATCTTAAATCGTTGTTCTAAATGAATTCGGACTACTTTGGTTCATTTTAATTTTTAGGCAATGCTGTAGATAAAGAGAGTATGCCTAGACTTGTGACTTTTTGGCTACTAAAGAATCGTTGTTATGTGATTGAATATGTTGAGCAAGTTCTAGCATATTCATCTGTTTGCTTTGAATGGACTCTACTATAATACGAAATTTTGTCGGATGTTTAGCATGTTGTTGATCATGATATTTGTTTACGAACTGATTCCTTCTAGGTTGCATTTAGGGATGGGCATAGATCGGGTCTTGGCCGACCCGACTTGAAAATATATACCCTCCATCTTCCGACTCAAAATAATAAAAATATTATTTTTATTCAATAAAAATAATAATTTAATTGAAAAAAATAATATATAGAGGGGTATTATTATAATTATTTCTAAATATATAATGTAAATTTTTTTGGGTCAAGTTGGGTTGAGTATTTTTACCCTAAACTCAAATCCGACCCGACCTAAACATCACCTTTAAAAACTTGACCCGACCCGATCCGATCCGATCGGATTCGAGTCCCATGTTACATTTCATTCCATACTATATCTTTTGAATAATGAATAGGCTTGTGTGATCTAAGAGCTTGTATGTAGACTTGTTCAATGTTCTGATTACTCATTAGTCCTGGCTTGTAAGATCGGGTTTTGGATCAAGTTTTTTATTCTCATTTCCCCAGCCTTTTTACCTCATTTTCTTTGTAAAATACAAGGGTCCCCCTGTCTAATCCAATGTTTGCTCAAAAACTCTATAACCACAAGACCTTGTGCAATGCGTGTTTTGACTGCCAACTTGCATGATCAAAACAATAATTGGCTCTGCCCTCTATATATGCTTACATTTTCCCAATATGCTCACTCACAATAAACCAAGTTATGGCTAGTTATACCAAGACCACATCCGAGTATTTTGCCATTTCTACTTCTCCTAAAGCTTCTGTAGATGCATCACGGCTGCCAGAAGGGAAGAAAATAAACAAGACGAAGAAGAAGAAGAAGAGAAGGTGCTTGTGTATGTGCTTCTCTAACATGCAGTTCGAGAACGAGGAAGATAAAGAGAAAACGATGTCGTTTTTGGAGAGAGAGGAAAGCAAACTTGCCATGGTGATGTGTTTTTCCAACTTTCAAGTCGGTCCCGATGTTAAAGAAGTCCCTAAAATATCTGCCAAGTGATGTTTGGCATCCATGAATGGCTTTGAGGTAGCGGGTCATATATGAATAAATAAAGAAATAAATAAAATCAGCTTTAAAGTAGTCGTATAAATGTATAAATTGTTGATATTTGAATGTCTGTAAAATAAATAGAAAAAAATAGTATCATGGCGTTTGGAGACTTGTGAGTTGTGAAGAAATATGAGAGTAAAATAATCGATGAATTTTTGTAACACCCCAAATTTCGGACTAGTAGTTTCGGGTTTATCTGAGAGATAAATGAACCTGGTGGAATTTATAATTAAATTCGTTGGGCCGAGCGTGGGCTTAATTGGGTTAGAATTTAGCTTAACTAGCCATAAAAGGAGATTATTGAATAAGTGAAAAATGAGAAGTGACCAAATGTGCGAATTCACCCTTTTTAAAGATGAGAGTTTTTATATCTCATTTTTATCTCTTTTCTCTTCATTTCTTCTTATTCCTTTCTCCATCACTTTTTCTCCATTCTTCCTCTTCTTATTCCTTTCTCCATCACTTTTTCTCCATTCTTCCTCCTAAGCACCATAGCTCAAAGGTAAGTTCTTGGGAATCCTTCCTACTTCAATTTCGTTCCTATTCTATCTAGCAACATCATTTTAGTGATGTAAATCTTTGGGTTCTTTGGTTGCAAGAAAAATAGGAGTTTTATCATCCAAATCACCAAGGAAAGGAGTGTGGCTAAGCAAGGAGCTTCATTTCGGGTTTCTAACAACAAGGTAGTGTATTTTTAATCATTTCTGGTGTTAAGACTTTCTTAAGCATGATGATTTGCCAAGATTTGAGTATTTGGGTGTAACACCCTAACCCGTGAGATGTCACATTAACCTTTTTAAACAATATTCTTACAAAATAATAAAACATTTGGACTTATATTAAGAAAATACGATAATATATTGCTGAATTATGTTTCGTTATAACAAATTTAAGTCATAAAAATGTTTTTATAAATATTATTGTACTGTATGAATAGTATCAATACTGTTTAAATAGTATCGTGAACAGTATACCGATGCACAAAAACATCGAATTTAAAATGTGTATCGATGCACTGCTACAGTACTTTCAGTAAAACATATATAAAACTCATAAAAACTTAACCTTTCATCACTATAAAGTTACCATTTACATAAATACGTTTAAAACATTACAAAACTCAATCATATGATTTTACAAAACTGATTGGAACATATCGAATTCAAATCTTTATTTACATGCCAACCACAATCAGTATTACAAAATACAAACTATTCAATTCTTTTCTGATTTGATCTTTGGAAAGGAGAAACTGACTTGTCTTGCATAACTTTTATCAATCTTCCTCTTCTTGGAACCTACGTGTAAAACAATTACTCGCTAAGTCGTTGACTTAGTGAGGCATATAAAACATCTAATATAAACTCTTGCTTATAACAATACATGTACAATTAATACTATCATATCGTACAAAACTATATAACATTTCATATAAGTAAATATATTCATATACATAACTCATCATTTCCATCATTACCTCATTCCATTATCATTCATATTTTTCTTCTAGTCATTCTTAATTAAACAATACACACACAACAACATATATCTTGTCATGCAACAATTATCCACCTGCATATATGTTATTATTCACATTTTTATTTCTGTACATCATATAACACACATATCATTTCACAAAGAATCACACATAGCATCCTATAATCCTTATAATCCATTTTTCATAACATATCACACATACACATATCACATATAATATATTTATATTATTGTTTTATTAGCCCATGTATACTTTTGAGAACTTAAGATATACGAGTGCATTGAGGTTGTGCACAAATGTTGTCACCACAACTCGTATAAATTCACCGAAGTACCTCGTAGAATTGTACCGAAGTGCCGCTTAGAAATGCTCCGAAGTGCCATATAAAATGTCCATAAGGACCACATAGAAATTCCTTAAGAATAATATACATATACCAAAGATCAAGTAGTTGTCTCAAAAGACCACATACATGTTCCAAAGAAGACATATATGTCCCGAAGGACCACGTGGAATTGTCCCAAAGAACCGCGTAGACCCTCGACTCTTGGCATGCCAACTATACCTCTAGATCTCATGACACATAACATGAGCATTATCTTTCATATTTATCACATATTTATATCGGCACATAGTTTACTTACACGTAGAACATTTTTATATGACTCATATTCACATATCACATAACTTATACCTTGTTCTTATGTCTTCTTATAGACATATATTCTTTCCCACATAGTCACATAGGTCCATATCATATAACATGTATCACATGTGCATGTAATCATATAAATCATATCATATAACTTATATTATTTCTCATGTGTTCATGTAAACATGCATGTCATATCTTGTTCATATATGTTCATATATACATCATATATCACATAGAATAACATATAAATTTATACATGAAATCATATCATTTATTATCTCATAGTTCATGTCATATTTTCATAAAATCACACATTACATCACATATACACATGTACTCATTTCATTTCATATGTAGTTTCCTAACTTATCCTTGTATAGATCATATAACATTCTCCTAACTCATATATATATATCACAACATATTAACATCTACCCTTTATTCACATCATTGATATACTAGTTTAATATATTTACTTAGTTCAGTTCCACATAGCACCTAGAATCTTCTCATATAACTTCATAAATTTTTACCATTTACCTCGTATCCTAGTTTCCTTTAATCATATAAATTTTCCAATATAACTTATTTTATACCTTCATATAATCACTTGTGTCTATGTCTCTTAATTTATATACTATTCTTAAAGTATTCTACAATCAATGCTATTTATCTTATTTCACTTCTTAGTTAATCATGTAATTTTATTATAATATTTCACTTAAATTATCTCACAATCATGTTTTAGCCTAATTCATAATCATATTGTTTATCCCTGTTTAATATACCTATATAGTTCATATACCATACATCCATGTCAACCTACTCTTATTCACGTAATCATATCATTTCATATAAAAACATATCAACACATAATCATGCATACATACAAATCATGTCATTTACATACTTATAATCATAAATTCATGCATTATAATATAGGAAATAGACTTATTGCAAGTCTTAATTCCATAGCATAACTTACACTTATTATCATGTACTCACCTTAGCTACTTGCCAATACCAACTCTTGTTCTCTCTTGAATCTTACTCTGACGACCCATCCAAACTTTGCTTTCAATCAATGTCTACACAATCATGTATTAATACTTATCAGTATTTCAAACAGCATACTCTAATATTTCATTTCTTAAACTAAAGAAAGATCTATTTTCATTTTCCCTTTGAAGTGTATCGATACACACTATAGTGTATCGATACATCCCTTCACTGGTGTATTGATACACTACCTGTGTATCGATACACTTATTGCATTCGATGTTTCTTCATTTAAGAGTGTGTCAGTACATATTGAATGTGTACCGATGCACCTTGCCCATAAATTGTATTTTAAGCCCGAAAATTCATCATTTTCAGTTTAAATTCTTCATGTTTCATTCCCTTTTCTATTCTTAGCTCAAGTACATATACTTAAACTAATTTCTACTCATTCAATACATCTTTAACCTCAAAATTTCATCTTTCATATGGAAATCAATAATCATACCAAATTTCAAGATGCTCTAAATCCAATTCTATCACTTCATATCTCTTAATTAAGTTGATGACAAGTCAAATTTAGTTTCAAATTCAACTTATCAACTCTTTTCCATAAATTCACTTAAAAACCCATTCTCTTTAATCTTTCATAACTACTTCATCTTTTGATTTTAAGACAAGTTAAGCTTTCCTTAAGCTTAAGTATCACCTAAGGATCAAAATCCATACTTAAAATCAACAAACAATCAAGTAATCATAAATCTCACCTTTGCTTGGCTATCATTCTCGTATGAAGAAGAAAAAGAAGATAATGAGAGAATTGTGTGGAAACTTATTTCCTCTGAAATAGATTCCACGTGTTTTCCTTATCTTATAAGGGAAATAAAAATCTTTCATGTCAAATGACCATTTTTCCCTTTAATTCCTTTAATAATTACTAACAACCCTTCATAAAATATCTCTAAATAAATTCTAGAACTATTCAACTATTTTTTTTAATCACCAAATTCTGAAGTTTTACAATTTAGTCACTAACTCGTAGTTTGAGATGTTATATTGGGCTTTCAGGGTTTCAAACTTGATTCATGCCATATATGACGAATTTGATGTAAAAAGAGTGTTGTATGACACTTTAGGGCCCTAAATAACTTCCTAAAGTTTCAGGACATGATTATAAACCAAACTATGGCCTTTAGAGTGATTTTAGGTGCTTTCCCGAGCCTAAATAAACCATTTTCAAGTTCGAGTATCAATACTTGGATGAACAATATTAATATTATATGAATTGGGAAAAAAATTAGGGATTTCAGGTAGAGAGTATTGATACTGCAGGGAGAGTATCAATATTGTCGCTACAGTATTGATACTTGGGGTAACAATATCGATACTGGGCCATTTTTCAGAACATCGAAGTTGTTTTTGGTATCTATACTCATAAGATATCGATACTTGACCCTAGGGTATCGATACTACCCACCTTGGAAGATCAGTTTTGACTCGGTTAAGGTCCGTAAGAACTAAGGATGGTCCGTAATGATAGAACATAGTCCACGAGGGACGTAAATGACCAAAAGGGCCCAAGAACACTCATAGAAATGAGTTACAACTAGAGTAATCAAAGTAAATGTAATGCATCCAAGTATCTTCAAATTGAACATGTAGCAAGTATCTAAGAAGAAAGGGTCTTTGTAGAAGATGCACTAACAACGGTAAGACAAGATAATCAGATCATGAAATAGCATAATTGAGTATAACAAGAATGTCAGCGAATGGTGAATGTGCAGTTGCTTCACTCCTCCCAATTTGAAGAAGAATTGAAGGAGAGTGTGGTAAGAACGAATATAGTGTCGCTACTCAGAAATGAACCCGAGTCAGGTATCGGGCTAGTTAGTATCACAGCCAATGAGTAGTGAACTCGGTAATCGCCGTAAAATCCTGAAAAGCGTTGAGATTTCGTTAAAGGAAGAAAATGACTAAAGTGCCCTTTAGTAATGAGTGAGTAAAATAGAACTGTTTAATAAACCAACATCAGAAACAAACTAATAGACCCTTGCAAACGTTCTAGGTGAGGGAACGAGCGAGATAGCAGCTAGTAAGTGGATGACCTCACTTTAGTGTGTTAGACTATTTTAGGGAGTAGTCAGGTTACTGTAGCTGCCCTAGTGGGGCATTGTCAGTGTGTGAGGCACTTCAAGATCTAGCTAGGGCGCGAAGATCGAACACTCGCGAGGAGTGAGTTAGCGATGTCAGTGTTATGTGGCCTTAGGGTCCTTAAATATGCATGTATGGTCGCATCGGTCCAGTACAATGAAATCCTTAAAGCTTGGCTTGAAGGCTGTGTGAGACCGAACCAATGCTTCAGTTAGGCAAAAATTGTACCGATGCTATATGACACCGAGTTTCCCCTCAATGATCTACCTGGTGGTTATTTGAGGACTAGAGGATCATTCAATGTCTCAGTGGGAATTATATCGATGCTATGCGACCTTGACTTCCCCCAGTTAACTAGTGTTTGATGGCTATGTAAGACCAGATACTAGTCAGTTTGATGTTCAAATAATGCACAAGAGTGTCAGTATCACATTTAGATAATGTGTAGCAGTTATAATCATTAGGGCTAGAGACCCTTTAGTGGTGTACTCATGGCGAGACCCTTAGCACAAGATTAAGGGAATCATGAGACTCTTGTTTCAGTGATAGAACATTTAAGCCTTAAGTAGGTAGCACTTGATCAAGATCATGCATACTTATGTTTATAATATTCTTAATGTTGCTCTAGATTAGAGATTATATTATTGGGCTTTGTAAGCTCAGCCTTCGGATGTTTTCCGTGGGCAGGTCAGTAGCTTGTGCAGTTCGTGGAGCACCATCGCAACAAGACTTCCAGCATCTCCTTCAGAGTATTGCACTGTAGTTTAGTGTACATATGTATTCATAGAACCTTACTAATGTATTCAGTTTTATAACTCATAGTTTGTATTATTGGTTTTAAATTATGTGTCACGGAGCTCTGATTTTTATAAAGTATTTTGTAATTGTTATTTAAGTTTATTATGACATCATTCAGTATATTTGAAAAAAAATTGAAAAGATTTTGAAAATCACTGGTTGCTTCTGTAACCTAATGTAGCATTTTAGGCACATTTGAGTTTTGGGTGTTATAATTTTACTATTCAACTTTTTAATTTTACTGAATTTTGCCGCCAATTTTTATTTTTTAATTAGATTTTACCCTTATTGTCGACTGTAATGATTTGAAAAATAGAATTTAACAAGAAAAATATCCTTTTACACATTTTATTTTAATATTTAAAACAAGTTAATTTATAAAATATTAAAAAATAATAAGTGAAAGTGTTGTTTGATATAAATTAAATATTAAAATTTAAGTTATAAAATACGAATGATATATAACTTTATTTTAAGTATTATAGAATAATTTATTAGTTTAATAAAATTTATTATGATTAAAGATTAAAGCAAAATTTAATATAAACTTTAGTGGTAGATTTATCTTTATTTGAAAAGTAGAATGATAAATATAAATTAAAACAACGTATAATCATAACCAATTTAAAGAGATAGAATATTAGGTTTTTTAAATAAAGTTAGGATTTAAATCTTAATGTTACGAGGTACGAATTAATTTGCCTCAGTGATTAAGGGAATCATTGTTATTTTTAGAGGTCATGGATTCGAGCACCAACGATTACAGTAGTATGATTGGGCGTTCAATGTCAAATGGTTGAGAGTATTTCAAACATATACTATTTTGTAATCATTTCAGCTTACTCAAAAATAAAATCTTAATGTTATGATTATTTTTGAAAAATACGAATCAAAATGTTAAATTAAAAGAATCGTTATTATAATAAATTTATATAACATATAGTCTAAATTAATGAAAAATTATATTGGCAATTAAAAAACTTATATAGTGATTTATTTAAATTTCTACGTATAGCGACAAATTTATGCATTATCCTTTTTGATTACTTGTAAACTAAGTTACACCATATGGTTGAATTATTGCACACTTAAGGTCGAATCATAAGCACTCGCATCATATCTTTTTGACTCAGTTTTTTCGCAATTTTTTAGTCTTATTTAGAAAAACTATTAAAAATAAATAATAAGTGATATAAAATAAAGTATTAATATATATATATATATATATATTAACAATTAATTAAAATTTTAATATAAAAATAAGTGTCTAAATTATACATTAAATTAATTTTTGGTGGCTAAAGAAATTTTCGTTAAAAATATATGTATAATGTTTTTCTATCATCTAGTGTTATATTTTTTGATATTTTTATTTTTTTAAAAATAAAAATATTATTTTTAAAAAAAATTTAAAAATAAAAATATTATTTTTAAATTTTTTTTAAAAAAATAATCAATATCTCTTCCGCATTGTCCCCTCTCCATCTCACCCCCACCTCTAATGATGACGGGTCACCATTGTTTGAGTTTTGTTCGGAGCAGGATGAGGAATTTAATGGTGACGGTCGTGTAATGCATGAATAGCTGGAGCAGTCAAAATCGTCGAAAAACAATAAATGAAAACCTAAAAACCGAACGACCTTTCGCGACATTTTCCACAACGATCGACGTAATTTCACGGTGTGTGGGGAACTGAATTTTGGTTGTGGTGGCAAGATAATTTTGATTGTGTCAACGGTGACAATCATGGACTGACAGTGGCTAATCGACAATGGACATTTTTATTTTTTTTTTGAGTTTTTTAAAATATGACATTAAATATTTTTTAAAAAAAATTTTAAATTTTTTTATGTGTGACACTTGTCAGATGATGATTAAATTTAATGGCGATTACGATCAGACACCTAAAAGTGTAACGTTGAAAATGTTAGATACCTATTTTGAACGAAAAATTCTTCAAACACCAAAATCAATTTAGAATATAGTTTAAACATTTATTTTTATATTATGTCTTAATTAAAATATATATAATTTGTATGGACTCCTTAATTAAAATATATATATATATATAATTTGTATCGACTCTGCCTCTATTTAAGCTGTTACATATTCTGCCCTTCGATAGCAAAATTGAAAAATTGCTAAGCGGTAATGGTTTACATTGAAAATAATAACCTCAAAGACATTGTTACCGTGCCCCCTCCGGAAGCCGAAAGTCAGAGGCACTCTCCGGCAATTCAAGGCCTGAACCCACCATCGACGACGACTTGATATCAGGAGTCAAAAGGCTAAACCAGGGTTGATCCTGAATCGGATTCGTGTTCGTATTTGTATCGTATAATAAATTTATATATTCGAGTTCGAGTATTCGAGGCCTGGATAATTGTATGTATGGATGTTTTAAAATTATAGTAAATACTTAATTTGTGCACACCTTGTTGTATCAAGGCTCTGACACATACCAGAACCGACAAAATTGCCATTAAAATCATCTGCAACATCAATGTAAACCTTGGATTGTTTATAAATCTTTGCAAGCTCATGTTTCTTGGAGCTCAAGTCATCCTCCAACATTGAGATCTTCATGATCAGATCCTTTACCTTTAGGCGTTCCGTTAGACCGATGTAAGCGCGGGCGATTTTCTTCAAATGTTTCAATGCGAATTCGACTTCGAAACTGATACGTAAAGCATCTTTGATCGTGTCCCTCCACTTTAGTATTCTATCCTCGGTGACTTCCTCGATTCGCAGATCGTTCATCTCTTTGACACAAGCACAGAACATAATGTAGACCGTCTCGGTAATGCTTGGGTTCATCTTACTTGCTGCGGAAATATCACCGTAAGCATCGATGATTCTCTCGAGGGTGGGGATCAGAGAGTGTGGGAAACTATATTTCCCCAGTTTCAAGCGATCCCCATCTAAGCCACTAAAGTCCGAAAACTTCACATTGCTCTCTTCGTCGGCTCCGATCTTTGTAAGTAGGTCGTTAACCGGCATTTCATCATCGCAGCATGTTCTAGATTTGGGTCTTTTCGGATTCGGAACCTCATTTAACGGCATCATCTCTAGCAGATTTTGTAACTCATTCATGTTCTCACCAAGGAGCTGAAAACATTACCAAACTTCGAATTCTAAGCCAAAAACATGTGAAATCAAACATGAATTTTGTATTGAACAGAAGTACACGCATCTTTAAGAGGAAATGCTTTAACACCGATGTTCATTCTTGGATTGACTGCAGCAAGCTCCATTGATAAGAACTGCAACTACAACATCGGACAATGTCTGGGAACCTTTAACGAATACGGTTATACTTAAACACAAGCGCAAGGAACCGTACCTCGACCTGGCGTTGTAACAATTGAATATAACTAAGGATCTCATCAAGCAAAACAGCTCCCCGACCCTGAGTCCAAAAGTGGTTTAAAATATGATATATTTTGTGTAGATATTTTTTATTCATTGGTATACCTTATTGCAACCAGGGATCAGATCTTTAAGACTCTTGGTGCTTTCACTTATTTGTGCTCTCATAGCCTGCCCATAATATGGTTCACATCAGTGGAAACATATGCAAAGCCTTCAATTACGTCATCATATGTATAAAAGTACCTTGTGATGGTCAGTGGCCTGAGCTCTTCGTGCTCGCAAATGCACCGAATCCTGTGCAGGTGGCTGGCCTGAACTTGAACTCGGTTCTGCTTCAGCTTTAGAAACATTATTCTCATGTCTACCATTGCAGAGCAGCGAATCGATCAGCGATTTTAACAGAGTATTCTCAGCAATCAACCGTTCATTTTCCACTTTCAAGTGTTTGTTCTCCGCGTTCAATTCATCTGCTGTTATCTGCACACCGTGAAACAATCATTAAGCTTCTTTAGCAACCGTATTCGTATTATTTTTCGATTTCATATTGAGTTTTAATGAGAAAGAAAGTTATGTATGATTACCTTGCGCTTTTGCCTATACCTGTAATCACTTAGTCTCTTGTTCTCTCTTTTCTGAGCGAGTGTAAATTTCGGTCTTCCGCCTTTGGATTTCGTGTGGCACGAACCTTCGGATATTTCTACTTGATTCAACTGATCTTGATCTGTTATAGACTCATGGAGTCCATTTATAGCAGAGACCTCAGTTTTATGATCCTCAACAAAACCCACCAGCTCCATCCATTGATGGTCGGCTTCGCCCCATGAATGATCATCTGGTTTCTTCAAAGTGAAAAATGAACTGGACCCATCTGATGAATAACCCCCCATGATCACCGGAATCACAATTTTCTCGATGAACTTGCCCGGGAGTGATGTTCTCTGGTTCATATATAATGGGACATTGTTCGGGGAAAACAAGGTTTGTGTTGCTTTTCCCGATTACATCTTTCCTTGTGATCATCGTTCCAAAAAACTTGTCACCTTTTGGAAACATTCCTGTAAGAAAGTGGATTAAACAACTAACTTTACGTCTACCTGCAGCCTTGTCAGTACCGATGACTGGTATTTTTGTGCAGTAAGTGTTGAGAATGGTATCTAAATTTCTAGAATGATTAATTCTATTAGAAGAAGACAAAGGAAATAAACACGTGCTGACAGGTACTCTATTGAAGTTCTCAGCAGCATCAATACTCCTCATGTATCTTAGCTCGTTTCTTCTTCCAGTCATTCACCTCAGTCTCTTGAGATAATTGTATCTATGCCTTGGAGCACCTATATTATCATTCTTCTAAAGATCTTAAACATAATAAACATTGAAAAATACGGTTCATTCAAATAAGAGTACGGGACGTGATCCTACATTAATCGAATCGTAATTAACAAAGTAAACTATAACGACGATTTGGTCATCTAATTCATGTTTTCCGTAGCTTTGAATCCATGAGAAATACCATTTTTATGCATTCCATTGGAGCCCTTATGCACGCTTTGATTGAGGATGCCAAAGAAAAATCCATCACAAAAAGCAAGTCGGCTGTCATCACTATGTTTTCCACATTGGGAATGTGATTGGCCTCTATCTCAGTTGCAGCTGCCTTCAGCCCAACCTACTTCTTTCCTTAACATGTCTTCTTACATCACAACTCTTATCCGCTGGAAGAATAAAAGGCAGGTAGCTGTGGACTCAAAAAATTGGAACAATTTCATAAAGCAAGTAAAGGTTTCAATGCAGGTTTGGTTTGCTCCCTTCAGTTCATTCCTCTGTAGAAAGAATCTCGAATCTATTGGAACTTCTCTGCAGCAACAAATCTCGAATCATTTCTGGTGCTGAACTTAAATCAGCATGATGTCGCTTCTTGAATCAAATGTGCTGCTTAAAGTTTCCTGCAAAACAGGTATTAATGGGGACAATCCAGACTTTGAGTCTCCTGAGAGCATATTTAATCGGAAATAAAGCTTCATTTGCATCCGCCATCCATAAAATCGAGCAAATTTCTTCCGAACAGAAGCTGTGTGTTTCCCAGTCTAAGTCTATGTGCTTCGATGTCGATGTATTGTAACCTGCATTTACATTGTCATCTTGTTGGAGTTCATGTAAAGATCTTTGATGAGATATTTCTGCAAAAGAACATGGCAGAAATAACTCATATGACAACCGGTACTTTTAATTTTCCAAATTTTCTTTTCCAACATCAAAGTTGGAGGGTTTTTTTAGAATTATTCATGTATTTTAATATCCTCGTATAAGAATGCAATATACCATTGCCCCAAAACTGTGAGCTTATTTCTTAGATTAAAGAAAAGAAGAATTTCCATGAAAGCTATGGTTGCAGAGCATTGAAATTTCCAAGATTAGCGGTACACCAAATTCTCAAACATCGGAGGTTGGTGACTCCTTGACTTGCAGAGGAAGCACTTGGCTGTAAATGTCTACACCATATGACTTGCAGAGGAAGCACGGCAAAATTGCGTAGAGGTTGGTCACTCTTGACTTATTATAGTCTTCAATGCATTAGTTTTGAATAGGACGTCATTGGTTACAAACGTTTCCGACCATTCAAATTATGACTTTCTATAATTGAAAAGACTTTTAATTGCATGACTAGCTCTGATGTATTAAATTTCAAAGTATTTGTCCCCATTTTCGCTTTCCTAGTAATTTCAAAGTATTTGGTCTCTTCATAGTCTTTAAGCGTGGTCTTCATTCCTAACCCATAAGACACACTGCTAAAAATGCCAAAATAATTGAGAAGAAACTAATGTTGAAGTCGCCAATTAAAGTCGGTAGCGTTTGGTTTGAAATGTGAAGATAAATGTTTTTGTTTGCCTCAAATTTTGATATAAATCTATGCTCCCCACTCCACTCTTAATTTATCAGCCTTCACATTTTACACTCTCAATTCTCACTTTGTATCCTAAGAGAAACATGAAAGAGTGGTTAATATCGTCGTATTTTGTGCTCTTTTCCCTCTTCTTTGCTTATAATGCTTATGCTTCAACGCTGCTGTCCTGCCCTCATGACCAAAGCGTTGCCTTAATCCAATTCAGCAACTCCTTTTCCATTGATTGCTTGCAAAGTTGGGAATGCCAAGTGTCTCAGGCTAAAACAATGTGGTGGAAGAAAGGCACGAATTGTTGTTTATGGGATGGGATTAAGTGTGGTACTGAAACTGGGAATGTGATTGGCCTCGATCTCAGTTGCAGCTGCCTTGCTGGCCCTATCTCCTCCAACAGCACCCTCTTCCTCCTCCGCCATCTCCAAGAGCTTAACCTTGCTGGAAATAATTTCAACATGTTCCCAATAGCACCTCAGTTTGGCCAATTGACTAGTTTGACCCATCTCAACATCTCTACCTCATCATTTTCAGGTAAAATCCCACATGAAATCTCACACCTTTCTAAACTATCATCCCTTGATCTATCTGATAATTATCATTTGATGTTTGAGGGTCATGTGTTTGAAAATGTGGTGGGAAACTTGACACAACTAAGACACCTTCTTCTTTCGGGTGCCAATATGTCTTTAGTTGAACCTGCTTCTTTCCTTAACGTGTCTTCTTACATCACAACTCTTACCCTTGGGGCTACTAAACTACAAGGGAAGTTCCCTGAAGATGTTTTCCACTTTCCACGCCTACAGGAGTTCAGTGTTTCGGGTAGTTATCTTGAAGTCAAGTTCCCAAAGACTAATTGGAGTGGCCCCCTCAAGTCACTGCAAGTATCGTTTTCATATTTGCAGGAACTGCCTAATTCAATTGGTAATCTTAGATCTCTGGAGATATTGGATCTTCGTAATAGCAATTTAAGAGGGACAATTCCAACAACTCTTGCCAACCTCACACATCTCCGATATTTGGATCTTTCCTATAATAATTTGGTGGGACAGATTTCAGATTCTTTTGGAAACCTCACCAACCTAATTCATTTGTCTTTGAGAGATAACAAGCTTAGTGGTCTTTTGCCAGTTTCAGCCTTCAACCTTCCACAAGTTCAAGTTCTAGAATTTTCAAATAACAGTTTGGTTGGTTCCCTTCCTTCTAAAGTTTGTGGGCTTTCACGACTTCCTAAACTATACCTCGATCACAACTTTCTCAGTGGCAGGGTACCCTCCTGGTTATTTTCTCTTCCATCTTTAAAAGTGTTGTCGCTCCATAATAACAGGCTTACTGGTCCTATTGATGAATTTGACAAGGTTGCTCCCTTGGAGGTTGTTGATTTGTTCAGTAATGAGATACAGGGTCCCATTCCTTATTCTTTTTCCCAGCTTGTGAACCTTATTGATATTGACCTTTCCTTTAATGATTTGAGTGGTAGTTTTGAAATGGACAAACTCTCCAACCTCAGCAAACTTGTGTCAATGGATCTCTCGAACAATACTTTGCTATCATTGAGCAGTGCAAGCAGCAACACCACTTACTCTTTGCCTAATCTTTCGACACTACTACTCTCTTCTTGCAACATAAGAGAATTTCCAAATTTTGTAAGAAATCTAGAAGGTTTGACCTCTCTGGACCTTTCTTATAATAAAGTCCGTGTCATCGAGGCTGATATGTTTTTAAAGCTTAAGAATCTTTTGTATCTGGATCTTTCACACAACAATCCACTATTTGTGAGCAACAATAGTCAGGTTAGCCTTGTCTTGCCTAATCTTAACTCCTTGTCGTTGTCTTCTTGTAATATAACTAAATTCTCAAATTTCTTGACAACGCAAGAGAGTTTGAGAGAATTAGATCTTTCAAACAACAGCATTCAAGGCCAGATTACCAAAGAAGAAATAAATTGGAGAAGCAAGCTACAATTTGTTGATCTTTCTGACAACTTGTTGACAGTTGTAGAATATTCTTCATGGCAGAATCTACAAGTTCTAAATCTCGGCTCCAACCTATTAGAAGGGCCACTTCCACCACCACCTCCTTCCACATCCGTTCTCTTAATCTCAAAGAACAAATTGATTGGAGAAATTCCTCCTTCCATATGCAATTTGTCCCATTCAGATATAGTTCTCGACTTGTCCCATAACAACCTGAGTGGAGCAATTCCAAGATGTCTGGGCTTGAGAAATATTTATGTTCTAGATTTGCAGATGAATCATTTACATGGAACCATCCCTGATTTTTGTGTTAAAGGAAGCCACGAGTTGCACACACTTAACCTCAACAACAATGATTTTGATGGGCCACTACCTATGTCTTTGGCAAATTGCCATAATTTGGAAGTGTTGAATCTGGGAAATAACAAGATAAATGACACATTTCCCCACTGGTTGGGAACTCTTCCTCGGCTACAAGTTCTTGTCTTGCGAGCCAACTATTTCTATGGTCAAATAATCGATTTGAGAATTGGATCTCCCTTCTTGACCCTACGAATCCTGGACCTCTCCCATAACAAGTTATCTGGTTATCTGCCAACAACATACTTTAGAACTTTCCAAGGTATGATGAGTTTGGGCGATAATCAAATGAGATATATGGACGATGGTAGTTATTACTATCAAGATTCCTTGGTTGTCACAATGAAAGGTGGGGACTTTGAGCTTGAGAGAATTTTAACTATTTTTGCAGCACTTGATATGTCAAGCAATAGGTTTGAAGGGATCATTCCAGAGGAAGTTGGAAATCTTATTTCACTCCAAGTGCTCAACTTTTCCCATAACCACTTAACCGGTCATATTCCTTCCTCATTAGGGAATGTAGCAGCACTTGAGTCGCTAGATCTCTCTTGCAACAGGCTCGTTGGGGAAATTCCTTCTCAGTTGGCTGGTTTGAATTTTCTTGAAGTGTTAAACTTGGCGGAGAATCATCTAGTTGGGCTCATACCTCAGGGAAAACAATTCAATACCTTTCTCAACGATTCCTACATTGGCAATACGGGGTTGTGTGGGTTTCCGGTTTCAAAAGGTTGTGGCCAAAATGAACCACCAGCACCAGTAGTTTATGAACATGACAATGACTCTGCATTCGGATTGGATTGGAAATTCGTGGTGATGGGTTATAGCTGTGGATTGGTGTTTGGATTTTCTGCGGGATATATCATGATGACAATAAGGAAACCAAAATGGCTTGTTGGGATGATTCAACGAGCAGGCAACAAACTTGTTAGGAGATTCAAGAAATATCGTTGAGGAAGATTTGTTGGGATGATTCAACAAATTTGCTCTCATTCTAAATTAGTCAATGAGCTTTTGAACATCCCGAATTCATCCCTAAACTACGACCCTCTTTTTAAATTAGTCTTCAAATTTTTGAATATTCCAATTTCATCCCTAAATTCATCCAAATATGCAATTAACTTCAATCATAGTTTAGCCTAATTTTTGTTTTTTCAAACATGTAATAATATTACTTAGCCTAACGATTTTACTAACAAGGAATGCGATTAGTATATATCTATAGTTTAGGATGTCATTGTTCATCGTTAACAAAAGTAACTTGCTTGTGTAATCTTTCTCTTCTGTTCGTGCCGAATCCACCATATTTTTTCTTTGTCTTTTCTCGGAGCAAAAAACTCATGCCATTTCTCATGAATATTATATCGGTAAAAGTCAAATAAAAGAGACCAAAACACGAGATGACAAAACTAAAAGACAAATCAATCATGGCTTCATCATATCCTTGTTATTTCTTCCTCCAAATAAACCAAAGGCTTCTTTCATCTGTATGGACGATAGCAACAAATATACTAAAATTTATTGAGATGTACTCAGTTGATTGTACATTTACAAAAATTTCCCTTCTCATTTAATATAGATTTATGGTTTTCTGGAATCTTGATGCGATTATTTCCCATAAATGGTTCTTTTTCTTCATAAAATTATTTTGGGTAAACTACATTGGTGACCATTTAACTATTGTCAGATTTCATTTTGACCACCGATATTTTGATTTAATCAATCAGACCTCTCAACTATTTAAATGCTTCAATCAAGTAAATGTCCTTTAACTTTTATAGGAGGAGATGATTTGGTAGTTAAAAAAAACTTGATATAATTACATATTTGATCCTTAATATTTATATATTATTATCAATTTGATCATAATTTAATTCAATATATTAAAATAAATTTAGTCTTCAATAAAACGATGACATGTATCACTACCTTATAGATGGAAAATAAAACCACCTATCCAATACCCAAACTTTGTAGCATTTTATAATATATTTTATATATATTATATAGCTGATAATGACAGAAAAAAGGGAAACCACTTGAGCGTTTTCAAGGCATAATGTCTTCTTAAAATAGGATCGTCTTTCAGTTAGCTTTTCAACGCATTTTGAAACACCTCAATCGAACATCAGAAACTCAAGATATGCTTATTTTAACGAAGACAACGCGTTCAGAAAATCCAATACAGGTTGAATACGAGATATTTATATTAGGCAAAAGGGTAACTTTTGCTCCTATAGTAGACCCAATTTATCACTTTGCCCCTATCCTGTTTTCACATCAATTTAGCCCTCAAAGTTGCTCGATTGCATCATTTTTAACCCTACCCCTAACTTAAAATCATAAATTGTAATTCATAAACCCTACCATAACCCTATTACCTTTAAACACTGAACTTATGGTTTTAATTTAGGGGAATGGTATAGAATGATGCAATTAAAAAACTGAGGGTTAAATTGATGTGAAAATACGATATGGGCGAAAATGATAAATTTGATCTACTATAGGGGCAAAGGTGACCCTTAAGCCTTTATTTTATTACGAATTTTAAATTATATTATTGATTATTTACAATTAAATTAAACTTTAAACTTTCTATACTTATTTAAGGTAATTTAGAATCTTATAAATTATGATAAGATTTATTTTTTAATTTTGTATCTAGCATTAATAAAAAAAATGTTAAGATTTTAGGTTTTAGGTTTTTTTTGGAGGTCTATGGCTATAAATAGGCACTCATCTCATGCAAAAGAGGGAAGAAAAAGAAGAAGAGAAATCAAAGAAATTTTTGTAAGGAGATCGAAAAAAGAATACCAATAAAAAGTGAAATCTTTTTAAATATTTCTCGTGTTCTTCTCGCTTGCATGCTAGAACTTCGATGCTCAATTGATTGTTTTTATTTTTTATTCAAAAAATTATTGAGAGAGGAGGCCGATGAACAAGAGGTAAAGATTTTATTTAGATCTATCTTATCTCGAGGTTCTCTAGTGAAAACCGTTAGAGGATTATGTATTTTAACCTTTTTTTTTAATTTAATTTTCATTTTGACTTTTTCTGGAAGGATTTTTATTTTCTTAACTTCAATTAAATGATGTGATAACTCGACTCAAATCCATATGAGATTTATGTATTTTTACACGAATAAGACGTAATTATAGTCGTTATTCTTGTTATTTCTTATGAAAATTTATCTTTTTTTTTATTTTTCTTAATTATGTTTCAATATTCAGTTTTTTTAATTCATTTTCCATTTTATTAAAATTTATATATTAAACTTTGATCGTTCCCTAAAGCATCTATTTTATTTTTAAAGTTAATTTACTTTGTTATTTACAATGGCCGCTTGGTGTTATTACTATTTTATTATATTTTTCCTTTTTTAAATTTAATTAGTTTATGTTCGATATATATACCTTTTAATTTCTGTAACTTTCCTTAAACGTGCTTAAATTGGTATGGTAGATTTATTTCTATTTTGTTTCTTAATTTGTATTTTTCTTTTAAGTTTAGTTAATTTATGTCATCTTTAGTTATTTTGCTTCTTTTCATAATTTGCTTTCTAAAATTTATTCTAATTTTATTTTGTTTCCTTTTTATATTTTATATTTATTTTTAATTATTTTTTAACTCTTTACATTTATGGATCTTTTTGTATCTTATTTTGCATTCCTTTTTAAATTTGTGTATTTGTGCATTTCCCTATTTGTTCATCTTTCATGTATATTTTGCATTTTTTATATATGATACTTATAACTCTTTTATTTTGTTAGACATAATTATAGTATTTATTTTTTATTTAAAATACCATAATTCATTTAATTTTATAGTAACAAATACTCAAAGGTAAGTAATTATGATCTTTTTCTTAAATTTTGGTCTAAACTTTAATTTCCGCTATTAAGACAATTTATAACTATGTTGGTACCAAAAGGGAGATGTGAAGGTGCTCATCCTTCCCCACACGTAATGGACTCCTGAACCATTCCAAGTGAATCTTTGGCAAGATGTATATTCGGTAAGAGGTAAAATTTAGGTATTCGAGTTTACCTAATCCAAAAAGGTTGGTGACGACTCCAAAAAGTAAAATGATTCACTTAATTCGAGACACGATCTCGGGCCACTCGGGAAATCGGTGCAATAAAGAATTTGTAAATAATTTCAGTCAAAAGACAAATTGAGTAATAAGTAAAATTAAGTCACTAAATTAAAACAGAGTACTTTTAGTAAAAAAAGAAAAGGAATTTAAGTTATATAGGTATTTAATAGTGGTATAAGAGCACGTGGTTCAAATTTGGTAAAAAATAAATAAACTTGAAATCATGAAAAGTTGAGGGATTGAATTGAAAATTTGAACTTGTTATCGAAAAGAGGAATTAAAAGTACATCGGTATTCTACGATGCTTTAGGAGTATGTAGTTCAAATTTGGTAAAAAAATAAATTTAAAATGAAGGGGGAATTAAAGGAATGAGGAAATCAACGACTCAATTGCAAAATTTTCAAAATACTCAGTCAAATTTTTATTTTTTGAGCAGCCTGAAAGTTTCAAATTTAAACTCGACTCGAAACTTGAAATTGACTCGATAATTCAAGTTGATCCAAATAACTCGAAATGAATAACTTGAAACTAAAAATAAATAAAATTTTAAGTCGAACAGAGTTTTGCTCACACAACATATGTAAATGCTAATTTTGACCTTTAAATTCTATTTTGTTTCAATTGGGTCCTGCATACTTTTATGTCTTAGTTTTTTTATATTTACATTTATTTTATTATTTTCATTACTATTTATTATTATATATATATATTTTCGTTTTTATGTATTTATTATTTCATTGTCATTTATAATTATTATTGATATATATATATATATATGTGTGTGTGTGTGTGTGTGAATATTCTTCTCTATTTACATTTTTTTTATCTAATTTATAGTTATTGTTTATTTCATTATTATTATTATTTTATTTGCTTTATCTTTTTTCTCGCCATGTTTTTATTTTGCGTTTTATTCTTATTTTTATTTTTTTATTAATATATTTGTTACATTTTGTATATTATGTAAAAAAATTGAAAAAACATATCACTTCTATGTATTAATTTTGGACGTTATGAGAATGTTTGAACATTCCCTTATACCTGGCTTTCGAACTCAAATTTGATCTTAAATGGTCCATTGCAACTCTAATCACGTGATTAATTTGTAGAAGACTCAACTCATATGAACTATCACAAAATAGTTACAACGTGTGTATCATTGTGGAAGGTCTTAAACCCTCACTAACTGGTGCATAGCTCATCAAATTTTCAAAATTTAATCTTACATTCATTAATCAAACATTACAATCTTACATATTATTAAATAAATTAAACAAAGTAATATGATTTTACTACTAATTTATCAGATAATGCTTCGTTTTAGAAATATTAATCTCACAGTTAATATTATATTCAGTTAACCAAAGTCCTGAGAATCAATTCAGATTTCAGACAGGAAAAAGAACTTGGGAAAAAACAATATATGTAGGGACCAAAATATTCCTGAAGCCTTTGTACAACTACGTCTCCATGAAAGCTTGACAAAACCTTTTATTAATCGCCAGAACAAATTTTATTAATACAAAACATACATATAACCAAGAAAGACCAACTACAAACCAGAAGAACAAACCCACCGCTGAGCATAACGCGAGTGGTGACCTTGACAATGAAAAAAACAATACTATCTAGGGAAAGGCATTCCCCGAATCCCGGAACCACTTCCACGGCACTCCATCAAAAAGCAAACGATGCTACCACCAGGCTTTGAACAGCTGGGATCTAGCCGATCCAAAGTTAGCCAAGTAATCGGCCATTGAGGGGGAGGACGAGGAAGACAATTTAAAGATCACTACTTCGAAAAGCTTCACCTTCATGTCAGTTTCTTAATAGCATCCTTCTATTCCATGAACAGCTTGCGCCTTTTGGCATATGTTTGCTGCAAATCATCCCAGGAGGCCTGAAATTTGACTCGATCAGAATAAGAGGGAACAATGCCTTTTTTTAACTCATCCATCATGAATTCGACATCGAAACGCATCTCTAAAGCAGTCTTGGTTGTATCGCTCCACTTCAATATATAATCCTCAGTAACGTGATCAAGGGGGAGCTCTTCCATTTCCTTCATTGAAGCACATGAGAGAATAAAGGTTCTCTCATCGACATCATGGTGCATTATACTTTCCTTTGTAACATCACCGTATTTATCCATGATTTTTTGGGCAGTGCTGTGCAGAGATTTTGGGACGTCATATCTTCCAACTTTAACGCGGTCGTTCTTATCTAACGATGGGAAGTCTGAGAAATCAGCTTTGCTCTTTCCTTTTTCATCGACTTTGTTGAGAAGTTCAGCCATAGGCATCGATGTAGCTAGAGAATTCTCTTGATTTTCTGTAAGATGTGAGCTGGTGACAATGCCTCCTTCAGTACTAACTGATGTTGTCCTCTGTGGATCTTGAACAACGCTGCTAATTTGCGAATCATTTTGCTGAAATTAAAAGGAAAAATTAATGTTATGGTTCTAGAATTAGAAGCCTACCTAAAATTTGATGCATGGTCTTGCTTGAAAACGAGACATAGCAAAATGCAGAAAACATTAAACATCAACTAACATACATTTGATTAGTACTTTATCTGGACCCTCAATTATAAAAAGTCCGAGCAACATAAGTAGAAATGAGTATTGTACTAACTGTTGTTTGGAAGCTTTCGGGCGCTAACTGCTGCTTGGCAGAATAAGTTGAAGGATGAATATGCTCAATAGTTGGTTGCCTAGCTTGTTCTTGAATTGGCTCATTTGGCTGCGGGCAACTGGTAGATGCTTGTTGACATCCTTGACTTTCAGATGCCGAAGTGCTTGCATGGTGGTTCTGCAATCAAGACAAGCAAAGGAATGATGAGATAGGACTATGCCTTGTTAATAATTTCATAACCATAAGAGCATATTTTTACTGCCGCATGACAAATGTAAGTGAACAAAAAGATCAGGTAAAAGAAAATTGGGTCTGTGCTGGACTAGTCTAGATAAAGCAGAGCAAAGTTTCATAACGGCAACATGTAACATATTAAAGAATGCATACATGAACAAGAAATAAAGAATTAAAATAAGTTCTCGTCGGTGCTATCTAATTGAACAAAAACAAGGTACATGGTTTGAGTTTGAAATACTAACTCTTGTGATATTTGGTTGTCTGTTTTGTGTCGGAATTTGCTCATCCGATTGTCGGAAACCATCCAACGATAATAACCCTTGTTTTAATGCAGCCAACATATCAGTCTTAATTTGTAAAACATTTAACGTAACTAGTTTTAACCTGCATTGAATAATACAACATCAAAGCGAAGATAGACGTGGAATGTCAATATGATTAAAGTCGACACATCCTTCATCTTCTAAACAAAAATACCCCTCACTCATCAGGAAAACAAGCTACGGAGTTTATCCGGGACATATTAAAAGAAAACTTGATTTGGTTAATCCAGTTATAACACGTTCCAAGTGAATTTGTATATTAGATTTTTTGTTTAGATTCGTGTACCAAACATGAATTTGGAGTCATATAAAGATACTAACTGCTGGTGAATCATTTGAATATCTGATTGTCCATTGTGTGCTGTGGTTTGCTCATCTTGTTGCCGGCAATTTATTGACTGTGATAAAGCTTCGCACTGGGCAGACAACTTTCCAAAATTCTCTGAAATTATTGCCTGCAAAATCCCAAGTAATGTTAGCTGTAACATCCGCAATACCGGGTTAGTGACCAAATTGTAAAGTTTCAGAATTTGGTGACTAAAGTAGAAGAATGAAAGAATTCAATGATTATTTGAATATATATTGAAGGTTATTTGGTAATTATTAAAGGAAATTAAGGGTATTATGGTCATTTGACCAGAAAGATTTTTTATAATTTTTTTTAAGGGTAATAAGCACGTATGAAGAAGAGTCCAGAGCATTCTTCAGTCTTCTTCTTCCTCCTCTCCACCGTGAAGCTTGGTATAAGGTAAGTGAGTCTTTAGTTGGTTAATTCTTTCGTTTTAAAGCTTGTTTTGATTCTTGGGATATTAAGAAAGATTAAGGAAAGCTTTAGGGGGCTTAAACCTCAAAGATTAACAAGTTATGAGAAATTAAGAAAAATGAGTTTTTAAGTGAATTTTTGATATGGAAGGAGTTAATAGATTGTGAAGTTGAATTTGACTTGTCAAGGATTAAATTAAGAGGTAGGAAGTGTTAGAATTGGAATTAGAACACATTGGAAATTTGGTATGATTTTTGAATCTTATATGGAAGATAGAATTTTGAGGTTTAAGATGAAATAAATGAATATAGATTGGTTTAAGTATGTGTACTAGAGTTAAGGATGAAAAGGGGATGATATATGAAGTGTTTGAGAGGAAATGAAGTAATTTTCGGGTTGAAAATATGATTTCTGGGCAAGGGGGATCGGTACCCATTCAAGGGGAACCGATACCCCTTCAAACGAACAAGAATTTCCAGTATGTCATAGGGGAACCGATACCCCCATGGGGGGGGAACCGATTCCCCCTAAAGGAAAATTGGGGATATGGATTTAATAAGTTCGTTTAAATTGATAGTATCCAATTACAAGGTGTAGGTATCTAATGATGGTCTCGAAATGTACATTTATGTAGATTCTACGCATAAAGCAATTCCGGAACATTTAGCAAGTAAGATCGATCAAGGGAAAGATAAGAGATTGGATTTGGCTAGTGAGGCCAGGTGAGTGCATATTAGTTAGTTTATGGTGCTAAATGGAAACAAGACTTGCGACAAGTCTATTTCCTATGTTAGAATGCATGAATATATGATTATACGTATATGAATGACATGAATTGTATGTATGCATGAATATATGTGTTGACATGCTTTTGAATGTAATGTTATGAGAAGTATGTGCTATATAAGGTATATATATATACATATGTGAAACTGAACTATGTGACTGCATGAGAAAGATATGAGCCATATGACATGATATAGGTGAACATGAGAAAGCAAAGTATGAGATATAAACTATGTGATCATAGTAAAATATAATTATATTTTTATATGATAAGTGAAATAAACTGGATAATATTGATCTATAGGATGAAGTGAAAATAGTACACCAACTAGGGGATTTGAACATAAATGATAAGATGAACGTATAAGATAAGCTAGATGGGAAAGATTCATAGGTTTAAATAAACTATAACACATGGGTTGAATGATAGAAATTTGTGAAGTTATATGAGAAGATTATAAGAGCTATAAGAAATTGAATTAAGTAACAGATTAGATTATATATAGAAATAATAGAAGTGAGATATGTTTATAAGTCTGCCCTAGATGAATACGAAATATAAGAGTGCTATATGATTTATATTAGGATAATCTTGAGGATATATATATAGATAGATATGAAATGAAATGAAATGAGTTATATGAATACCCAATTATGTGATGAAATGGTGAATTACCTGAACATGTGAATATATATGTTTAAGAGAAGGCATACGATTAAGATATAAGCAATGTGACTATAAGTATATGTGCTTTAAGTGATATGACTTATAAGTATTTCTATTATAATGTTACATGATATGTTATGTATGTTAAAGGAATTATGTGATGGTATAAGAATTGATAGGAAATATATATGAAAACAAGTATATGATACGAGACAAAACTTATGACTATAAGCTACGTGAAAGTGTTCTAGGTGTTTCGATATATTATATGAAGTATATGATCTTATGTGAACAAGATATGATAAGTATGTTTATATGAATAAAGGTGATTGGGTGAGAAATGATAGAAATTATATGAAAACATGACATATGTGACATGTGAATTATATGGAAATGATCTACGGGTAAGTGAACTACGTGACTATATGATCATATGAAAAGAAGCTATGTGATACGTGATATGTGAAAGTGAATTACAAGTTTATGTGTATATTTGAAATGAAAGAAATGATAACGCCCATGTTATGTGTCATGAGAGCTAGGGGTATAGTTGGCATGCCAAGAGTCGAGGGTTTATTCGGTTCTTTAGGACATATGTATATCCTTTGGAACCTGTGTGAAGTCTTGAAAGACACATACTTGATCCATAGTATATGTATATGATTCTTAAGGAATTCTACGTGGTCCTTATGGACATCATTCTACGGGCACTACGGTGCAATTCTACGGGCACTTCGGTGCAATTCTACGGGGCACTTCGGTGCATTTATACGAGCTGTGGTGACAGCATAGTGCACAACCTCTATAGACTCACATATCGATAGTTCTCACATATATACATGGGCTAATCCAGAAATATGAACAAATATAAGTTAGTGGTATGATAAATGCTATAGAAATTATATGATGTTGTGTGTATAGTGTTTGATTGAAAAAGTATGTGATTATATGATAACATGTGAATGATGAATTATGTGTATGTATGAATTTACTGCGATTAATCTGATATGATTCTATACGATATGAAAAATGCCTGGAATTGCTATAACATGATAGAACAGAACATGCATGTATCAATATATATGTTTTAAAGTGCATTATAAGTGGTTATGCCTCACTAAGTCTTCGACTTAGCGTGTGATTGTTTCACACGTAGGTTTCGAGAAGAGTAAGGAGTGATGCGGAGCAAGACAGGTCAGTTTTCCTTACCAAAAGATTAGATCAGAAATATTTGACAAAGTATGTTTTTGGTTATGTATAAAGTGTTGGCATGTAATAAGTCATTAAGTACGAGCACTCTGATAAAGTCTGTATTTTGTTTTAAATAAAGTTTTAAATTTCCCGGGATTTTTCTTAAGAGTCAAGGTTTGAAAAGTCAATGTGACACTTCGGACTCGTATCCGGGTCGGATACGGGTTGGGGGTGTTACATTAGCGGCCTCTTAAATTATTTCATTTACAAGGAAGTAATAGCTTTGAGACTAAATCCATTACTTGTCGTGATAAATATGAACTTCATATCCAAAAAAGAAATCCCACATCAGATTGAGAGAGATTAGTAATCTTTACCATGTTTACAGTCAGATTGTGATTTTCTGTAGTCCATGCCACCTGTGAAATCAAAGCAATGTTTTGTTTGTGATAGATATAAACATATGATCCCATAAAAGAAATGACCACATATCATATTGAAACAGATTTATACTATTTTACCTTTTCTTCCTTCAGCATTTGATTTTCGTTTGCCAATACCATCTGTGAAACACAAACAATGTTTTATGTGTCATCTATCTTATGATATCGTTCTGATTACTTGTGGATATACACATTCCTCACACTTTACCTTTTCTGCAGTTAGCTTTGCGATTTCCTCGGTCAATCTTCTCTGCAAATCCCAAAAAATATTATTGGGAACTTAAATTCTTCCACATATATATATAGGGAAAGTAAAAAAGAAAAAAGATTTTTGCTTTTACCTTGTTTTCCGTCGCCCTTTCCTTTTCGGTTTGTAACTCTTCCTGCAAAATTCAACCAATGTTAAATTTCTACCTACCTTCATGTAAGAATGAAAGAGGTGTATGTTTCTTTACCGTCTCTTTTTTTTTTTTTCTCCCTATTAGCCCTACCAAGAATTGCTGATTTCGTTTGTGATAGTTCTTTCTTCTGTTTTCCCTTCAATTTTGAAGGCACCTGTCCGTCAATTTGATTCTGATCTAATCGATCCGGTTGAGATAGCTGAGATGGACTCCCACTCTCCTCCTGACACGGTTCATTCGCTAGGGGTGGACTTATATGAAGATAAGACGAAGAGCCCTCCGCATTAATGTTTCTTTGAAAGTGAAGGTCTTGACTGAGTTGACCATGATTCCAATTTAAAGGATCCAATAATGGTGGGCTAAAGCTCATACTTGCATCATGTGACAACATATTGTTCGGTTCATTGTGCATCAATCCTGTACTTGAATCTAGCAGGGAGCTGATTTGAATAGTTGGACTCTGAAATGATTGATTCTGTTGAGAGTTCATCTCTGCTTGATTCGGTCGAGAATTCATAAGCGGGATTGCAGATGAACTAGAAACCATTTCTGGATTTGGAGTCCGGCTCCTACACGGCTGAACCCTGCAACAACAAAACATATACAAATATAAACAAAATTTGCCAAACTGCTTTTGATCGGATGATAATCAAAGGGGGGGGGGAAGTTCAGACGAAAGATAATCAAAGATTAGCTGACTGATTCAATGGAAGAAAACATTTAGGGATCAAACTTCAGTAAAATTCTAAAAAACCAAAGAAAATTACATTGGCTGCAGTTCATCCATTCCGGGGAGATATCTACACCAAGAATCCTCTTCTTCAACCTCGAAAACAAACTTCCTAATCTTGCGGCAGCTCAAAACATAGTCTGTTGAATTTTGGTTGAATAACGATTTTATACCCAACTGCTCCAAAGAAGTATTGTCTTTATCCTCCAATCAGATTGTAAAAAAATAAAATCACATTGTTTTTATTATTATTTAAAACGCAACGAACAAATGCCAATCTAAATCCGCAAAAATACGAACACGACATTGTCAGCCCACACAATTGACTCCAGAGAGTAATAACAGGAGTTGCTTTTTGAGCCCTCGGATCAGACCGCTAGCAAAATGTCTGAGCCGTTAGATTTTTCCTTCAAGCTCATCGTCCACATCTGGAATCCCATTTTCCCGGCTTTTGGCGCCCAATTAGATGTTCACTTTATTCAACTCTTTCACATGGTGATAAACTTTGAGTATTAGTTTTGTTTTTATGCTTAATATCTACTTTACCCCTCCTACTTTACCGAAACTTTATTTCTGCCCTTTATTCTTTTTCAATAAGTTTAATCCCTCAACTTTTAAATTGTTATCGCTTTAGTCTTGGATAGTTTTCTTTTTCTTTTAAAAACGATGATGCTAGGCCTGTAAATGAACTGAACGTTCAGCGAACTGTGCGGCGGGAAGTTCCTTTATGTGCGTTTATTTATTAAATGAACGAACATGAACAAGATTTTGTGTTCGTTTAATTAAATGAACGAACATGAACATAGGTCTCGTTCGTTCATTTACGTTCGTGAACGTTCGCTTATGTTCGCTCGATTATGTTCGATTATGTTCATTTATGTTTGTTCGATTATGTTCGTTTATGTTCATTCATTTATGTTTAACTCAATCTTCTTAAATCAATTTTGGTGACTAATTTGTAAGTATATTAAAAATATTAATTAATATGTTATTTTGATGTCAAATTCCATAATTAACCCAATTTTATTTGGAGATTAAATCTAATATGTTAACCCGTGAGGCACCTCGCACCAATATTCATTTTCCCATTTTTCCCCCAAACCCTAGTGTTCACTAGATAGTGGGGACGATCGCTTAAAGCTTCAAAAAAAGTTATATTATAGTGCAATCCGAAGTTTTACATGTATGTTTTCATCTTTTTCTCTGTTTTATTTGGCTTAATAGTTGATATGTAAAGTTATTGTGTGTATCTTCACATCTAAAACTCAAGAAAACATCATACTTCTTTCTATAAATAGATGGGAAGATAAAGGTAACAATCGGAATTATATGAGCATCACTAAAGAGAAAAATAAATAGAATTTGTCAGAAAACAAAACAAAGGTTTCTATGCAATTTCTGAAAAAGAGTGTAATAGTGGAAGTAATGGGTTTTCCATGAAGAACCCATTAATAAGTAGAAAATACATTTTGACAATGAACTTTTGTTTTCATAGTTCTTGTGTGACCTTTAGTTGTGGAGTAGACTATAGGCATGTTAAAATTTTGAATGGTGGTTTAGCAATAATATCAGTTACGATATGTAGCATCGAAGGGATTTCGGATCTATTTTATTGCCTTGTAGTCCAATTTGTACCGTTCGAAATCTTCATGCTGTTAAATTTTCTACTCTGCCAACGGAAATGACCATTATTAACAAACCTCACTAAAGTCTGAAATTGATGTCACAAAACTTTTAGTCGGTGAATTTATTATAATAACGTAGTGGAAAATGATTGTTCATATGTAATCATGGACCACTAAGATAAATGTTATATCGTTAAATTAAAGTCGTGTGAATCATTTAATATCTTTAAAAGATCGATCGAAATATTTGATATCTTCAAACATTTCATTACTGCTAATCAGCTCTTACGCTATTTATCACTGTAGATTTGGTTGATTTGCATTGTCGACTATTTTTCATGAAAGAACAATGGAATGTATGGTCTCGAACGTTTATGTTCATTTATGTTCATTTATGTTCGTTTATTTATTAAATGAACAAACATGAACAAGTTATATTCCTTAATAAACAAACATGAACAAAAAAAAATTGTTCGTTTATGTTCGTATTCGTTTATGTTTGTTTGTTTATTAAATGAACGAACATAAACATACCTTCGTTCATGTGCGTTCAATTCGTTTACAGGCCTAGATGATGTAGTCCAATCAGGTTCAATTTTCTCTCACTTTACTTTAAAATTAGACCTTATTTTTATTTAAAATTAGGGTAAATTACACCAATCATTGCTAAACTTTACTCTCTCTCCTATTTCATTCACTGTACTTTAAATCCTTTCAATTTTTTTACCAAATTTAATACAATTAACATTTTTTGTCACTCGGTCGTATTTAATAGCGTTAAAACGATGTCGTTTTAGAAAAATAAAATTTTCACCAAAATAACGTCGTTTTACGTTCACATAACAGCTCATTTATAATGTCATAATGAGAAAACGGTTGAGTAACCAAAAATACTAATTATATTAAATTCAGTGAGACAATTGAACGAATTTAACTTACAGTGAGTGAAATAGGAGAGAGAGTAAAGTTCATAATGATTTGTGTAATTTACCCTTAAAATTAAGGATCGCGTTCAACATTTCTTACATAGTGGATTTTCGTTTGTCGTTATCATGTTCGTTTCCGATCGTTCACCAATCGAATTGAGTTCAGTTCTTGTACACGCGTTTTCAATATTATTTAATATATATATATATAAATCCATAAGTTATATATTTAATTTTTATGAATTTTTAATTATTTTATTTAACCATACATAAAATTACAAAAGAATAAAAATACTCTTATGTTAATACAATTTATCAAACAATTTTTAACTGCAGTAATTTTTAACTGAATTAAAAATAAATTAATTAATAACACCAACTAGGTATGCCAATAGAACAAGCCGAACGGATAAGCCCATCAACATTTTCTTTTCCCTTCTTCAACTAAACTGTTCTCGACAAACTTAAGAACCACAAATTGTTGATGTTTATTTTAAATTTTTTATCTGCGATGGATTCCTATTCATATTCATATTCATTTTATTTAAACACATTTATTTGAGAAAATCAAATTTGTATTTTCACGATCATGTTTATGAACATACAGTTAGATATATTCACAAACAATTAAAATTCTACCCATACTTTTTAGATATACAAATCAACTATTAATATTAATAACTATGTCAAACATAAATAAAATAAATAAATTTTATATACGATGTTTAGACCATCCAAACTTCTCTCTATTCTTTAGTTGAAAGAGATTATATATTGCGTGAACCAAATAATCTCAATGGTTAGATGAATAATTATTATTCTCAAAGGTTTCAAGTTTAAACATCAGTAACTATTAATATATTTAAATTTTCATTGTCAAATGGTCTAAAAAACAATTATTGTCACTTGTAATCACTCTAAATTAATAAAAGAGAGAGAGATTGTCCATTTAAATATACTCGATCTCATATTCTCATGTATGTTTCACCGACAAATACTAATCCAACTTAATCAAAAAAATAAAATAAACAATTAAACAATAACACTTTTTATTACATAAAAATAAAACAACAAACGAACATCAAACGATTCATTAAACGGATATACACGTTTGAATTGAACTAGAAATAACTGATTTTATTTCTTGTTTTCATTTCGTTTAACCTTGAAATCTTGTTCATGTTTATTTATTTAACTTAAAGTAGAGGTGGCAATCGGGTCATTCGGATCGAGTTCTGATTTGGTCATTTCAGGTTAGAATTGCATTCGGTGCGGATTCAATTCAGTTTGTGTCAGATCTGGTTCGAGTTTAGTTTGGGTCTATGGAAATTTAGTTCGGGTCGGATACCAAGTCAGGTCAAATCGGGTCATTTGGTTTTCGGGCCGGGTCAAAAATCGGATCGGTTAGTTTCGGTTCGAGTCAAACTTTAGATTTTCGGGTCAATTCAGGTTGATTCAAAATCAACCTTTAAATTTTCGAGTCAATTCGGGTTGGTTTAGGTTTGAATCAACCGCTAGATTTTCGAGTTAATTCGACTTGTTTCAGTTAGGATCAACTATAGGTAAATTAAATTCGAGTTGCTTTTGGTTCGAGTTATTTTCAATTAGGATTAATTTCGATTCAAAATGCTTTCAATTCGGGTTGATTTTGGTTCGGGTTAATTTCAGTCCAGGTTGGTTTCAATTAAACTATAATTCAGGTCGATTTTGGTTCGATTTATTTCAAGATTCGGGTCAATTTTAGGTTATCATATTCGGGTCTGTATCGAGCCTCAATTCGAATAATTGGGTACGGATCAAATTTACCAAGTCTAACTTAAGCCAATAATACCAAACATATTCATTTAATATTCACGAAACACATTTATTAGTCGGTCATTTGCTATCATTACCAAAAGCATTAAAGTCCGGAATTGAAAACTAGACTGGCTACCAAAGTAGCCTTAGGAGAAACAACTTTAATTCAGCAAATAACTAGGGTACATGCTCCAAATCAAGAATAATTATTTGTATGATTCTGGTTGGTAGCCGCTGCTTCGTCACTAGAACCAGTCTTCTGCACATCCTGGATGCCTTCACGCAATTGGAAACCAGTGGACTGAAAAATTAAATTCGAAGATAGAAAAAAAAAATCATCACGATAGCAGAAAGAGAAGCTTACACGAAGGTTGATTTCGTTCGAGACATTAAAGATACTTTTATTGAACTTCAAGTAATCAAGGCGTGTAAAAACTACATACAAGATTTACTCAAACTCGAACCAAATAAACGAAAACCCTCACCACTAACATGGAAATTAAACCTATGAAATACCATCCTACTGTTTTCAGTTCTTTATGGAAATCAAGATGATAACACATACAAAAACATAAGCATTCTAAACTTAAGCAATCAAAGAATGAAAGGATTTTGAAAGAGTTAAGACACGATTTTAAAGGGCTTTTGGTATGCATATATTTATTCCGTCAAAGATACACACAAAATAACACTTTTATCATTCTAAAGCAAACAATTGCTACCTGGACAGAACCGCTTTTATCATCATGTGGCTGACTGGTTGATTGGAAAAAAAGATCTCCTAGTTTGTTTAGATCTTGGGCTGGAAATTGCCAATTAGGACGCAACCATGTAATATCTTCTTGTAGCCGTTTTATCTCATCAGTCAACCGACCAAATTCTGATTTGAAGAAACTGTTCTTAGAAGTAAAACTTTCCAACTCCATCTGCAAAATAAAAGGCAACACCAGAATACAAAATTATTTTTTTTTATAGGAAGTTAAGGCCTCGTTAAAAACCCCCTTCATGATTGACGGAACACCGATTGGTGTTTCCTTAATCAGCGGAAGGAGAAAAAGAGTGCCTCATAATTCATTAATAAGTAGAAGAATACATAATATTTAAAACTAACAAGCCCCTTACAAAAAAAACCCGAAACACAACAAGAACACCTCTTACGCTCAATAAAACAAATCCCATCCCATCAAACAATAACTATCCAATACCAGCCTTAGCTAAGCTATCGGCTTCTATGTTTGCCATTCTGTCAATCCATTTGATAGCTCCTTCCCAAACTCTTATCATGGCAACAATATCTTTAACAATATGAAGGAAAACACTAGGACAACTATCTAAATTCTTAACCCAATCCACAGCAAGCTTGCTATCTGATTCAACAATCCACCGATTCTTAAACCTCTGAAGGTCATGCTCAAAGAAGAGTACACCCCTCTTAATGGCAACAAGCTCCAGCAAAGTTGGAGGTCCAGGATCTGCAGATTCTTTAAAAGAACCCAAAATCTTACCAGCCTCATCTCTTAGTAAACCACCCACACCACTCTTTCGCCAATCATTGCAAACTGCTGCATCTACATTCAGTTTTAGATAACCCGTTGGAGGAGGAATCCAGGACACAATTTTAGTAGCCGAAATTCTGGAAGAAGACCAGAAATCTGCAATAGAAGGGTCACTTATCAGGGAATCTTTAGAAATAGTAACCTCATTGAACTTAGCTAAGAACCAAGAAGCAAGCCTTAGCCTAGCCATGAAAAATAACTCAATGTGATCTAAGGACCTTCCTTCAAACACCACGGCATTCCTAAATTTCCAAATGGTCCAAAGCACCACCCCCGGAATTAAGGACCAAATAGAAGAAGAAAACATCATGTCATTCCAAGCAAGCAAAAAACCTTGTGCATTTCCATGAAGGACCGAACTAATATTCCAAAAATTCAAAAACTTATTCCATAGGGACCATGCCGCCGTGCAAGAGAAAAATAGATGAGGAATAGATTCAATCTCTTTTACACAAAGGACAAGAAACATCAACAATCCCCGAAACCCCTCTTTTTTGAAGCTCAAACTTTACTGCCAATTTATTATGGGCTACTTGCCACATAAAGGTTTCAATTTTAGGAGGCATCAATCCCTTCCAAATACATTTCTCCCAGAAACTATCTTTTACCGATTCAACAAAACAAGTCTTCATACAAGAGTTAACAGTAAAAATGCCTTCCCCATTCCCTCTCCAAAGCAGACCATCCTTTGACTATAGGCTGAAATTATGAATGATGGCAAGAAGATTAGAAAACTGTTCTAACTCCCAATCACATAGATTCCTTCTCAACTGAACAAACCAAGACCAACCCGATGAATTAAACTCACCAAATTCCTTAATTATCCCAAACTGATTCGATGAAAGAGCATATATTCTCGGGAAAGCAGTCTTCAAAGGATAATCAAGGGCCCAAATATCTACCCAGAACCTGATTCTCTCCCCATTACCCACTTTGACTTGGAACATGCTACGAATCTTGGCACCAAACTCATCCTCTTTAAAATGATTATTAACCACCGATTTCCGAATCCAAGAAGCATTTGTAGGAAATTTTTTAGAGAAAGAAATCATATTAGTGTCCTGATTATATTTGGAACAAATCAACCTCTTCCAAATTGAATCACTGTCATTAGCAAACTTCCAAAACCATTTCTCTAATAAGGAACTATTCATAAAATTAAGATTTGGCACACCCAACCACCACAACTTCTTGATTTACACACTGTAATCCAGTTAACCCAGTGTATTTTCTTAGATTCTGCCCCTCCTCCCCACAAAAAACTGGCCATGTTGGATTGCAACTTAGAATTCACTACTGCTGGAATTTTAAACAACATATAATATGTAGGCAAAGAACATAATACTGATTTCAATAAAACCAGTCTCCCTGCCAAAGAAAGAGTTCTTGCCTTCTAACCCGACAACTTCTTGAAGAATTTCAGCACAACCGGATCCCACAGAGCTAAAGAGTTCCTTTTTGCTCCAAGCGGCAGCCCTAAATAATCAAAAGGGAAATAACCAACTGCACACCCAAGATCCCCCGCCCACTCCTTGACCTCTTCATCAGTAATATTAATGCCAAATAACTTACTTTTGCTGAGATTAAGCTATAGACCGGACATAATTTCAAAGACCCGAAGAACTCTCTTAACGTTTAAAATATCCGTCTTAGAGGCATTACAGAAAATGATAAGATCGTCTGCAAATTGCAGATGTGATAGCATGTAAGAACCTTCTTCTTTGCCAACAACCAAACCATTGAACAACCCCAAAGATACCGCCTTGAGAAGCAATTGATTAAGTAGCTCTCCTATAAAATTAAACAATAATGGGGAAAGAGAACAACCCTGTCTGAGACCTCTGGACATTGAAAATTCCTCTGTAGGCACACCATTAACCAGCACTGAAACTGAAGCAGTGGTCACACACTTTCTAATCCAGCTGCACCATTTTATGCCAAAACCCATTTTGTCCATGACTTTGAAAAGAACATCCCAATCCACTGTATCATAAGCCTTCCGGAAATCTACCTTAAACACACAACCCTTCAAACCTTTCTTTCTCCAAAAATCTATTCTTTCATTAGCTATAAAAGAACAATCCAAGATTTGTCGACCCGGAGTAAAAGCAAATTGTGAATCACTAATGACATCGTTCATGCAACATCTCAACCTTCTCGATAGACATTTCGAAAGGATCTTGTACAGTCCACATACTAAACTAATAGGTCTGAAATCATCTAATCCCCCAATGTTGGTACCCTTAGGGATGAGGGTTATGAAGGTGTGATTGATACCATGCTCCCAATTTTTACCCAAGTAAAAATTATGAAAAAATTTCAGAATATCAACTTTCAATGTGGACCAAAACCTTTTGAAAAACCCCATGTTAAACCCATCCGGCCCTGGCGCTTTGTTGCTATCACAAGAATTCAAGGCCTCCCAAACTTCTTCTTCCGTAAACCCATTCTCTAGGCTTGTACTCTGCTCTAAAGTTAATCTCGAAAAATTCAGCTTGACATCTTCCACTTCCAGGGTAGATTTGAAATTAAAAGTTTCAACAAAATGCTCACGGACACTTGCCTTGATGAGAATTCAACCTCCTCCTAACTGAAGCACAAGTATGGAAAAATTTTGAATTACGATCACCTTCTTTTATCCATTTCACCCTTGAATTTTGAATCCAAATTTGCTCCTCAATCCTGTATAACTTCCACAATTCTGATCTCAAGGACCGCAATTCCTCAACACTGTTTGTACCCCTCTGTACCTGCTGTGACAGAGAATTCTGCTCTAATTTGTGAATCTTACCTTCTAAAGCAGAAATGGTAGAAGCTGGATACTGATCTCTCCTTCCAGACCAACTTTTAATAGCTGATTTTGAGCTTCTAATGATACTCAGAATACCTGCTTTTTCTATCGACTTTCTTGCAATCTTTAATAGCTGTCACAACCTGCTCATCAAACCCGTCCTCATTCATCAAATATTTAAACAACCTGAAAGGTTTCTTACCCCAATTATCACCCCCTGTCTGAAGCAATATTGCATTATGGTCAGAAATAGATCTCGGAAGAAGGAGTTGGGTGATATCCGAAAATGCATATGAAAAATTAACACTCAGCAGAAACCTATCCAATCTGACAACAGTAGGAACTTCCCAATTGTTACCCCAAGTAAATCTTCCCCCCGTTAATGGAAAATCAATTAAACCCGAAAGATGAACAAATTGCCTAAAAATCTCCATCGAATTTCTGTTTTGTGCTCTACCATCCTTCTCATCTTCTGTTAAATAAGCATTAAAATCCCTCCTACACAAAAGGAATACTGATGCCATTCAAAAACAAGCTGAGCTCTTCAAAAAAATCTACTTTTTCTTCCTCCACCGAAGGTCCGTATACGTTAATAAACCCGCACTGAAATTGATTCAATTTGAACTTCCCTAAAATAGCAATAAATCTCCTATGAATCTGCCTATCTTCTACCTCAAAAAAATTGTCATCCCAACAAGTAAGTAATCCCCCTGCTGGTGATTCAACATACCCTTGAATATTGTTCAGTCCACTTCTTCTCAAAAAGACCTTGGACATGCCTCCAATTTTGTTTCTTGCAAAAAGAGAAAGGATGGTTTCTTCTCGAAACCATCTTTTGAACAGCTCGCTGCTTTTCTTTTTTCCCCAAACCCCTGACATTCCAAGACATTATTACTATCTTTGTTTTCATGATGATATGCAAATACCAGTCTCCTCCCCAACTTGACAACCTACTCAACTGACCCCACTCAAACCTTCCTCCAATTTCATGATTTTATTCAAGAAAGCTTCCTTCCCTTCCTTAAAAGAAATACCCAACATCTTGCTGATCTCCCAAGTTGTAAGAGCTTCATTTAAAATCGAAGAAAAAGCATTGGATGAAATAGTGGAGACACTTAACTTTTCTAAAGCATCCCTAATCAAAAACCTTTGAATTCTCCTTTTAGATCATCTAATCCCCACATCTTCACAATTCTCTTCTGAGTTTTGCTCAACCTCTGGAATTTCAGATTGTGCATATCTTAAAATAACAGCATTTTCATTCTGTTTAATTGAACCACCCTCTGTTTGAGATAAGAAATCATGCTCACTACTTCGCCAAATGTTCCTCACCCGAGATCTTTTATAAACTCTCTTACAACTTCTTATCATCCTTCTTCCCACCGGAGCACTTTCATAGAATTATTCTGCTGGGCGAATCTGACAAACACCCCCCTCAGTTAACAAGTTAAAACCTTCTGCTGGCCTCACATTAGCTGAATTCAATGTTGTAAAATTAGAACCACCCTCCACTATTATTTTACTAGGTTGAATCCCTTATTTACTGCTTCCTGCGGACTGCTTGGATGAATGAAACACTGATTATTTAATGGAAACTGAAGCCCAGTTATGAGAATTGCTGGACCCTTAGGAATTAGCTTCTTTATTGGGGAAATGGGCTCACTACTATCATCCGTTTGGGCCTGAGAATTACCATTTGAATTATTCAAATTCCTTAAACCCAAACCTGCAAACTCTCCCTTTTTAAAACTCCCAATACTGTGCAAATCTGACATCTCTTCATTAATGCTTATCCCATCCCTGCTTCTTCTAGGAAACTGGGATCCTCTGTCAAATTCAACAAAAGCGAAAGTAGTTCCCTGCTCCATCCAGCTATCAACTCTCTTACGTGCTTCCTCAACCAACCGAACAGTACCTGTCTTATCAGTTGACTTTAAGCTGTCAACTTTCATCTCCGACGACTCTGATTTAGTTTCACCTTCATCGGAAAAAATTTCCGGCGTGAAACTGGAGAAAAAACCGGAATAGATAGAAGTCGAACCCAGCTTAATTTTCACCTTGAAGGATCTTCCATACGAACCTAAAGTGATAACTTCCGGAACATCAAAAGGACTTGCCACCCTAATCAGAATTTTCACAGCCGAGAGATCCTCCATGTTTTTTGTCGAGTTCTGAATACCATCTACGATCCCCCACATCCCCGCTAACTTTTCTAAGAAAGCTTCTTGCCAACATAATAATGGAACACCATAGAGCTCCACCAAGCAAAAAGCCATTGGCATACCTCCTTCATTCAACATAAGTTCCAGTCTATCAAACCAGAAGCATAACTCACTCCTTTTAAACCAAGCCTCCTTCATCTCCTCATCCAACTTGAATATAATGACACAAGATTTCCAAATGTGACCCCAGCTTGCAATCTAGACTTCGAAACCTTCTTTGATTAAAGCACTTTGCACCAATTCCATATCAAACTTTTGTTTAACAATGCTCGTAAGTGATCTTTTAACCCAGGATGATTGATCAGAAGAAATATGCATCTCCCAAATATTCTTCTTTCCTTTCCCCCTATCTGAAGGATCATTTTTATTCTCTAAATCTCCCAAAACTTTCCTCTGCGGAATGTCCATCAACAAGGCATCCTTATAAGATCTATCATCCCTTATGCTTCTTGTGTGCTGAACTCTCTCAGTAGTATTGGTATTTCCTTCTGTTATCTTTTTTTAAAGCACTAGCTAGAACCTTATCTGACCCTCCATACCTTGAGCGATCTTTCTGATATTTTGCAGCTCCAACAAATATTTTCCTCCCATCTAACCATATCCCATTTAAATTATCAACTGCATTCCACATTCCTACTTCATTATCAAACTGAACGAAGGCAAACAAGTAGGATTTATACTTTGGTTTGTTCGTCTCATTTGGAATAAAAACTCTAATCACATGACCTTGAGAGAGAAATAAATCTCTTAATTCTCTTCTGGATACTCCCTTACTAAGATTATCAACGAAAACCGTCCAACTCACACCGGAAGATTGACCTTTCTCTCCCTACTTGGCTGATTCTTCTCTCTCTCTCTCTCTCTCATGTTTAAATTGTTCTATAAGAATACAATATTATTAACAGCCAAATTCTTTTAATCTCGTCCAAAATTAAAAATTTAACACTTCTCATTAACATCTTCATTGCAACACCAGACCATAGAGGATAAGCTTTAGATCCAGTTAAATAGTTGTCAATACTACTTACAGAAGAAATTGAGAGTAAAGGTTGGGTAAGCAGAGGTACATAGATATTAGTTACTATGAGAAGTCGGTGTTCTCATTTATATTCATAGTACGTATCTGGGTGGAATCTAATATAAGCATGTAAGTCATAATAATTATTGAATGACAAGTAGCTTGGGATAATTTTTACTGCCATTAAAAGGTTTCTAGGCATTCAAAGTTATTCTAAATGGTAACTTTTCAAGATATCTCAAATCAAATGCACTTAAAGAAATAGAAAGAAATTCCATACCCCAGCAACAGCTCCTTCGTTGCCAAATTTCTCCACACAACGATTATTCTGTAAGTTAACAGACACAAACAAGTGAAAGAGATTACAATCAATGTTTCTCTTCAAAGATTACACAGTAATTAGTAAAGGCATCTCAAGCCAAATGTGGTAGAGGATTTATAGAGTTGCTCATACACTATAAACATGGTCATCATTATTACACTCCATTCCATGGTTATCCTGCAAGTTAAGGCATAGTGTTAGTGATGAGTGATTGATATGATCAATGTAGCTTTAATCATAGCATTATAGGAAATTAGCTTGGCTCATAAATCAAACAATAAATTTTACTTCTTGGACATGATGAAATTCATACATAAGAGTGAAAGTTAGTACATTGCAAGAGATAGAAAACTTATTCATGACATTCTCAGTGTCCTCAAATTAAATTAATTAGTTTTAGCAGATAAGCATATTTGATTTCGTATGGTAAAAATTATATTTCAGTTCTTAAAATAGTAAAGCTGAATAATTCCTTAAAACTTCAGAAGAAAACACAATTTCTACTTGGACATAATCATTTTAATCAACCTGGCATGTTGGTAGAGAAATACGACTGTCTTGTCTCTGCAGAACTTCTAGAAGTTGTCCCTTGCCTCGCAGGCCTTTGATAAGATCTTCCAAGCGTTTGTTCTCGAAATTTCGCCAGCTAGTTTCCTCTTTTAGATGTTTGTTCTCAGTACTCAGCCGCTCGGTTTCCACTTTTAAGAATCCGTTCTCAGAACTTACCCGCTCATTCTCCAATTTTAACAATCCGTTCACACTACTTAACCGTACAATTTCCTCTTTTAATTCTCCGTTCTCAGTAGTCAACTTTTTGATATCTTGCAAGTGTTCAAGCTGGGCAATCATTTCTTGTTTTATAATCTGCACAAATGGAAGCCAAAATTAAATAAGAGAAAAGAATGAAGAGAAAAATACAAGCCAAAACCTTATATCTTGTAAGAAATACATTTGTTTTCTTTCATATTAAGTACTTCAGTTGATAATTCCATCCCATCCATAATCCTAGACAATCCACGTTTGGAGATGCATTATCATGTTAACATCAAATACTGAAGATGACTTTATTCAACATTCTATTTTCTTACGAGTAACTGACATCTGTAAAGGCTAACACACTTGAAAAGATTTTAAAAAAACTACCAAACAGAAAGAAAAGGGAAAATAAAATAAAAAGACTAGTTTTTCTCAAAAGATTGGGGTGTAGGTATAACATCAAGCCAACGTTTCAAACCCAAAAGCATCACCACTGCAACACACGGACTAAATCTATGGAATACAATTTTACTGTTTTAAATTCTTGTTGGTCAAGAAGGTAAAACATACAATAATTAATTGAAGCATTCTAAATTTGACCAATCAAAGAAGGGGAGGATTTTTTTAGAGATTAAGACGCAAAATTATAAATGAATCTTGGTATGCATGGTATTTATTCCGTCAAAGATTTACTATACGCAAATTCACTAAGTTTTAAACATTATTCTAATATAAAAACACCTAGACAATTGCAACATTATACATTCAAACTCTTCAGAAGCAAACAGTTGCTACCTGGATAGAATCACCTTTATCATCATGCTGTTGGTTGGTTGATTGGGAAATATAAGATCCTAGTTTCTCTAGAAGTTGAGATGAAGATTTCTGCTGGGACTGCATCTCTGTAATATACTCTTTTAACTGACTGATCTCTTCGGTCATATTTTTGAAAAACATCTGCAAAATAAAAAGCAACGAAAAGTATGATGCTATTGACAGCCAATTCTCTTTAATCCCATGCAAAATTAAAAATTTAACCTCAAGATCACTTGTCATAACATCTTTGTTTCAACCCCAATAGCTCCATCTTTTCAACAATATACAATAAAGGATGGGCATTAGGCCCATTAAAGCTCTTTCCGTACTTCTAGCAGAAAACATTGAGTGTAGAGGGGATACAAGCACAGGCATATATAGATATCAATTACTATGAGTAGTCAGTTCTCTTCTCTCATTCATGCCTTTTCTTGCAAATGAAATTTTCATCTATTCAAGAGACATGAAGAAAGGCGTCTTTATACAACTGAATTTCGTAATTGCTAATGTTTAAAAATGCTGCCTATGCTTCAATTGTCAAATTTTCAAGCTCCGCAAGACTCTCGTTTAAACTTGAAGTATATAATCCATATGTAATCCTAACGGGAAGGATGATAAAAGGAACACATGTTTATTCCTTACCTTTTTCTTAGTCGATGTCGCTTATCACTCAAGATTTTCTTTCCACTTCTTTCATCCACACTAAGTTCAGTTCTGTGACCTTTTCCTTTGTTTTTGGCACTACGACCACTTCCTTTTGAGGTTTCCATTGATTGATCAGCTACGTTATTCATACATGGAATAGAAACTTTAGCAGGAGAAAGGTCCATGTCCTCCTCACCAGGATGAAAATCCTAGCCAAATATATAAAAATCAAAGCTATCAAATGAAAACATTTTTACTTTATCCTGTAAAAAATCAATTTAAAATTTCAACACACAACTCACCGACAGATCCATCTATGAGACCGATAGTGACTCTGCCAATCAAACAAAAAGATGAGTTAAAAGGGAAAATCAGCTTCAACTTTCACAAGAACCTAACATGGTAGAACCGAAAAATAAATCCAATCAAATTAAATCTTACCGACAGGATCCGCCCTTATTCTTTCCCTCGAAACCTCGTTGCCACAATTTCTTCTCCAAAACACCTTCCTCACGATGTTTGCTAAGAAAGAAAATAGGTCCCAAAAAGAAAATTGTATAAATACCAAACTAAAAGAAAACCATTTTTTTCTCAGGAAAAGCGGATTTCTTTTTCTCGGCAACCAAAATGGGGAAAGAAAATTAACCCCAGTCCTCCCATAATATCAGTGGCGGGTTCCAAGAAAATACATTCCTTATTGAAAGAAGTCCAAGCTTCAGGCCCTAGGCCCATCAGCTAAAGAACCCGTAATCTAACCATTTGAGTTAATGCATCACATGTCACCAAGTTATAACTCTCATTTTAAATTGATTCTTAAACTTTTGAATATTCTAATTCTATCTCTAAACTATAACTTTCATTTTAAATTAGTCCTTAAGTTTTTGAAATTCTAATTTTATCCCAAATTTATGACCTTCTTTCTAAATTAGTCCCCGAACTTTTGAATATTCCAAATTTATCCTTAAATCCATCCAAATATGTAAGTAGTTTCAACCATAATTTAACCTAAATTTGGTTTTTAGACATATAATAATATAAATAGGCCTAACGATTTTATTAACAAATGATGTGATTAGTATGTTCATATATTTTAGGATGAAATTAGAATGTTTAAAAAGTTTGGTGACCAATTTAAAATGAAAGTCGCAATCTAGGGATGAAATTGAATTGTTAAAAAGTTTAAGGATTAATTTAAATTGATATTCATGGTTTAAGGATGAAATTAAAATATTTAAAAGCTTAGAGATTAATTTAAAATAAATGTCATACTTTGAGGACATGTGATAAAGTTAACTCTAATTATTTCAGATTTGTTTTTCTAGTGGGTTTAAAAGATCTACGATTCCATATGAGAATAAAATTAAAAATATTAAATTATGTTATATTATTTGATTTATTTGAAAAGAATATAAAATTATTTTATCTGATTAAAAGAACATAAGTTATCTAAATGCATATTTTATTAAATTATTTGTGTGATATATATACGTATCAATAAATTATTTTATTAAATGCATATTATTTGATAAGAATATAAAATAATTTTCAAGATATGGCCTTTCATTGCGATTTGCATGACCTCGGTTACCATGGCCCAAATTTCACCTAGTACCAAGGGAATTACTCAGTTCACCTTGACCGCTGGTTTGGAAATTCCTACTGCTTTGAGAAATTTCCACATTCCATTCTCGAGCACCTTCTCCATATGAAATCGGACTATAGGCCTCTCTTGCTCTCTTGCTCCCCTGCCATTAACGGTGCTCTTTGTGCCCTTTCCGGTATGTTTCAAGTTGGTCTCCTCATGCGGATTTCAAAAGACTCATTTCTGACAATTGGGACCCTTCCCTCCCCCTGGTAGAGGCTATTTCTTCTTTCATCGAAGCCGCTAAAGGCTGGAATTATGACACTTTTGGCTCTATTGGTAAAATAAGAAGATCTTAATGGCACGTCTTCGTGGGGTGCAACGTTGTCTGGACCGTTATCGTACCCAAAGTATGGTTAAACTCGAATTTAAACTGTTGCGAGAACTTGAGCAAATTCTGGACCATGAGGAACAACTTTAGATTCAAAAATCTAGATCCGGTTGGATTCAATTTGGAGACCGTAACGAACTATTTCCACTCCAAAGCAGTCCAAAAAAGGCGTTGGAATACCTTTCGCAAACTTCGTTCTACTGGTGATGAATGGTGCGGAGACTCCAACCTTTTACGTGATGCTGTTGCTGACTATTTTGAGCACCTCTTTGCGGATCAAAGAACTCCGCTGGGTTCCTACTACGTTTCGGGTTTCTTTCCCATCTTTTCCGAGGCTGATTATTCTTTGCTTATGTCATAACCATTTTTCAAAAAAACAATTCGATATTGTTTTAAAAACAATTATGACTTTAATTTGGAAAATTTGGTGATTTTGGAATTGATTTGAATAAAATAGAAAAGGAGTCGCCATCGACCTTTGAGTTAGGTAGGTTGAATACCTAAAACCGTCTTTCAAAACAATTTTAAGGAAAATCATTTTTTAGACAATTTAGTCTGCGTCACCAAAGATTCAATTTAATGGATTCGGGAGTCGGTTACTTGTGGGGAAGGGTAAACACCCCACAACGCCCAGAATTGGTACTGTGTCACTTACGCATTGTCGTAATGGTGGAAATTACAAATCGAATATAAAATTAAAATATGATCCATTTATTGAAATATAATTAATTTGCTTGGAATCAATTAATTAGAGAAAATCCTTTAACTCGAAAAGAAATCTCGAAATTAACAATCCTTCATCGGGAAAACTAACTCGACTATTTCTTATCAATAAAAAATATCACTCATCATTGATTTTAAAAATGCAAATCGAATATAAATGAAAAAAATGAAGTTTACATTTAAAAATAAATTGATTAACTAAAATGAATTGAATATAAAAATGTAGAATTAAGATTAACAATTTGCATGGAATGAAATAAATTATTATTTAGTCATTCATTGCAATATTTGGATTAAAGTGAAATAAATTAATAATGAGCGAAATATAATTAATTTATTTCAAGTTTGTATTTAATTCGAATGTCATATTGGATTACATCACTTCGACCAAGTGGTGTTTTCCATGCCCATTCTACAAATACCGTTCTCGAAACATATTCAGACAATATTTAAATAAAGAAATACAATGGAAATAAATATAAATAAAATATGCGAAACTAAATATTTATAAAAAATAAAGTTAAACATATTTATTTACAAATGATATAAATAAATACATGACATAAAAAATATGTACATACATAAAGAGTTGGCATACAAGCAAAATAATATTACAAACTGAAATTTAATGACCAAAAATAAGTATTTTTAAGTTACAAGGACCAATATAGCAAAAACATACACTCAATGGACCAAAATAGTACAAACAAGAATTTAAAGGACTCCAAAGGGCTAAAATAACAATAACAGAAAGTTAAAGGGCTTTAAACTGTAAAAATAGAATCTTAAGGGACTAAATAGCAGAAACAGACATTTAAGAGACTAAATAGTAACATACAACAAACTTAAGTACTAAACTACAATTACAAATAAACCAGAGCCTATACAGCAAATATTAAACATGCAAGTACCAAAAATAAAAAAAAACCCACAAATAACATTTAGGACTAAAATGAAATTTTACAGAAACATGGAGGAACAAAAAGTAATTAACCCAAAGCTAAAACAGTGACTAAAATATAACAATTGCAAATATGGTGGCTAAATTCAAACATCCATAAAATATCACAACCCACGAAAATAGTGACTAAAATGAAACTATTACAAACATTATGGCCAAAGTTAAATGTTAATAATAATAACATAGCATTTAATAATAGGACTAAAGCATAAGAACCGAAAATAATGTGCTAAAAAACTAATAAAATAAGACTTCATTTAATGGCTGAAATATGCGATTACAAACTATAAGGGACCTAACATGTAGTTAACCCTTAAATCCCAGGAAACGAGTATGAGTTTACAAGGTCACAGGGACCAAGACAACCATTATCCCTTAAATAACAGCTTGGTCTCCTCTCTTAGACCAAAACGACGCCGTCTTCTTTGGTATATATGTTAAATTAAGGGTTTTCTCAGAACCCTATTCTCATTTACCCTCATCAGCCGTCTCTCTCTTTCCCCTCTCCATTTCTCTTCTCACGAGAGAGAAAGGAAAAACCTTTCTGCTACCATCGATGGGAGTCACAACCGTGACTCCGGCCACCACATCTCGGTGGCCAAGGGAAAGATTACGCCCAAACACCCCTATTCTTTTCCTTACCCTTTAAAAAAACTAAAACGAAACTAAACCCCTCCCTCTCAAAACCTAAAATGAAAATCAACCCCCAAGGTAAAACATATACCTTCAAGGACGGAGTACTGTGGCTCCGGTGAGACACCGATGGTGGCAGATGAAACAAAGGTGAGAGCTTCCTTCTTATTTTTCTTCTTTTTTTTTCTTTCTATTTTCGTTTTTTTTTCCGAATCTCCTCTCTGTCCCCCTTTTTCGTTTCCTCCTTTCAATTTATGGTCTTATTTGGATAGATATCATGAGATCTAGAATATAGGGCATGAGCTTCTGATTTTTTTAATCTGTTAAATCCCGAAGAATCGGGATTTAATCTTAGTTTTTAATGGGTTCTTGATTTGAGGGTGATTTGGTCCACTGTTGATGATGTTTTATTTTCTGTTTGATTGGTTATGCTGTAGATGACGATAGTGGAGCAGCTGGGTCGGCGGCTGGACCATCGGAGCGGGCCGGAACAGTAACGGCGGCGTGGCATCCTTTCCTCTGTTGGGGCGGCTGCTGATGAACAGTTAGGGTTTTAGAAACCCTAGGGAACCGGGTCGGGTCACTAGTTGGGGCTAGAATTGGTATTGGGCCTGAACCGGGTTTGGGCTCCAGCTTGTTGGGTATGCTGCGGGATTGGGCCTGTTCATTGGTATCTGCTGTTGGGCTTAGGGATTAGGCCTGCAAAAATTTGTAATATATTAATAACAATAAATAAGCATAATATAATAATAATAATAATAATAATATAATAATAATAATTACAATTAGATAGAAAAGACCCGGACAAAAACGGGTGTCTACAGCTTAATTTTGAATTATTGGATGATGAGATTAAAGGCGCTCTTTTCTCTATGGCACCACTTAAAGCTCCCGGGGTTGATGGCCTTTACGCCCATTTTTACCCATGCCATTGGGACTTTGTCAGTCCTTTTGTATGCAACATGGTTCATTCTATCTTCTGAGGTATTGATTTAGAACCTGCACCCAACCGTACTGTGCTCACTCTTATCCCGAAGATCAACCACCCAGTGACTTTTGTGGACTTCAGACCGATAAATCTTTGTTCGATCCTTTACAATCTTGTGACTAAGATTATTGTACGCTGCCTTCAATCTGTTATGCCCACTCTTATTGGACCTTATCAAACCAGTTTCCTCAAAGGTCACAGTATCTCGGAGAACACTATTATTAATCAAGAGGTGGTTCATTCTATGTATTCTCAGAAGAGTCAAAATGGTTGGATGACCATTAA